CGACCTCGAGAAAATCGTGTTTGGTAATAACTCGCTCAATGTCCGCTGCCAAAAACTCGGCATCGTGTGCTTGAGTACCGATGTAGACGCTCTAAACAAAACGGGTACTCCCCGCAAACGACGACATAGTTCGCAGCAGCAAGGCCATTGATGTCAGTCCATCCATCCGTGACAAAGGTCACAATTTTCCCATCCAGAGCGACTTTGAGCATCTTGATAGACTTGTTGTACGCACGATCGAGAAACAACGTAGCTAGTTGCTCGGGGCTTGGAACTTTGACGTCTGAGTGTAGTAGCTGAAGTGCTTCGAGAAAGCTGGTATGTCCGATCCTATAGAAGGGCATACCCGTGCTGCACACCCACCATGCCAATCGATCTTGAAACTGCTTGGTGGTGTCGCCCTTCAGACGGGGTCGAAAGTATCAGTAATTAACGCTGTATTCCTTTGAGCAGAGCAGCGCTTGGTCAGATAATGCTTGATACGTTCGACGTGGCTCCGACCGGTGGTTTGAAGAAGCTGGTTGCGCTTTTTGCACCCGACACCACCTTGTGGATCCACATCCACATGGTTCCAGGCTGCGTCTGCTTTCCGACCGGGGCGAACAGTCAGATCCCTCTGCTCTGTGACGACAGGAGGTTTCTCCGAGCTAGCTGGAATCGCGTCGGTCCGTAGCGACATACTGCGTAGACTAGGCTTCAGAGGTCTTGAGGAGAGGGGAGAGTTTTGGAGAATGAGAGTCCGCGGAGAAGTCGGAAATTACTGCTGCGTGCAAAAGAGAATGGTTGGCTTGCATGGTGCAAGCCAATCATTCTGTTCGTCCAATTCATGGAATAATTGCATCTGATTAATGAATAGGTGAAGGGACAGGTGTTAAATATCCAATTATACCACCCATGCTATTTAATAAATACCCCTGATATTTCAAGGTTTTGGGGTTTTCCAGAGCCCTGACCCCACAGGACACTATACGGAAGGGGGCTTTTATATGAGCGCGTCCATTATATGTTTAGGAGGCATAGACGTGCATATTAAAAACAAGTTAATTCAAAATAGTTTTTAATGAGGAAATTTAGGTGATTAGCTAGATACGTTTTGATTCGAATCGACTATTTATTAGAAAGCTTAAGTAAATCTCAATCTTCAATATTAACGGGCTCTACCAAAACCATACCGTTAAATTTCCAACTGTCCGACCGTGGGCTCCAACTGTACCGATACGAACGCTTTTCAGTTTTATGACATGATGTGACGCTTGTGACAAACAGTGACACTAGGAAACTGTGGTTCACACCCAACAGCCAACAGACTCAACAGCACGCGGCAATGGACTTCGTACGGCGGTGGACTTGGTGGCGACGCTGGCGGTCGCGGCGGACTCGGTGCCGGCGGTGGCGGCGGACTCGGTGCGACGGAGACGACGGACTTGTTAGCAGCGCTGGTGACGGAGACAGGGGACTCGGTGCTGGTGCTGACGTCGGACGCGGTGGTGCTGCTGGCGACGGAGACGGGGAGCTTGGGGATGGCGCTAAAGTTGGTCGTGATGATGGTGTTGGCGGAGAAAGCGGGGTATTGTTGCTGGCGTAGACGGCGGACTTGGTGATGGCGTCGACGGTGGCGACGTGGTGCTAGTGGTGGAGGCGGATGTGGCACAGCTATCCGGCGACGGCAGCTAGCCATCATAACGCGTTGGTTTGACAACGTGTAGACATGCAATGTGGTGATGTTTCCGGTGGCGGTCCTTCCGGAAGAAGGCAGCAGCTTTTGCTGCTGGCTGGTTCAACTCCAGAATCCGTCTAAGCATTAACTTTATCCCGTTGTATTGTTTCCTTTTTCTATATTTCTTGTAGGTTACTTCGAAGGTCGAAAACGAATGAAGGCAGGAAGAGCGGCTGATGGAGCTGGGCCAATGACGAATCCATTTTCCACGCGCTCGTGGAGCGCTGCGATTTGCGTCTCAAGCTTCCCAGCTTTATGAAACTTACGGAAGGCTTTTACAGCCGTGCCTGCTGCAACAGCAGAAGACTCGTTGGACTTCAAGAAGGCAAGTGCTTTCGCTTGGGCCTTCTCGCCTAAGGCTAACACCTCGCTTTTGAAAGCTGGGGAAGCAACACCCAGGGCAAATCCAGAAGGTAAGAACCGCATCATGTACCCTGTGGCGTGTCGTAACTCATACAACGTTGTCTTTTTCATACAGGGCGAAGCATACACGCGTGGCTCCGCCGTGAACCACTCGTACCAGACGTCTGAAAGCGACTGATACCCCTTCTTCTTAGGACGTGTGGTTCGAGTTAGTTGCTGTGGCGCCCCCATGTCTTCAGGCTGGTCAACAGCAGGTGCTTGTGCTGGTGCACCAGGTACGGCTTTGGTTATGGAGGAGTGCAAATGTGACTCAACAGCTGACAGGCGTTTCTCTAGCTGCCTATTTTGCAGGAAAAGAACATTGATCTGCTCTGACTGGTGCTTCACGAGATCCAGGAGCTCCATTAAATTTGAGTCACGATCTGTTAGCGTGTCCGTCTTAAGCGCCGGAGGGGTGAAGGCACTCCGAATCGTGCTGCTCCACGCAAGCACCTCTGCCTCTCGAATAGACCGTTCAGACATGACCTCCCGCATTCGGGCAATCAATGCATTCTCGTTTGACAGCAAGGGCACGTCGGGGTAATGCATTACGAGGGTGGTTGTCAAAACTTCTGCTACGTCCTCGTCGAGGTTGATAGCGACGTGCGAAAAAGCCAAGGTGTTCGGAAACAGCAGCGCCTGAAACCTTAGAGCACGGGCAAGTATTGGTTGTTCAAGTGTGCGCAACGAAGGCAACCGAGCACCTTCCTTGGGCTTCCACCCACTCAATACTCGTGCTACATTCTGGTCCGCCTGGGTCGTGGTTAGCACATAGCCAAAAGCTTTATTTACGCGGTCGAGCTGCCAGCCACCTCGATCAATAATCGAGTTTTCAGCCACGCTCCCGTCGTTGGCGTGCATGGCGGCACCGCGTCGGAATGAGTGCGAGGTAAGTCCGGTGGTGAGTCTAATTTGTTTCTCATCGCCCAACGTTTTCACTCTCACCAACAACCTGTTCACGTAAGCTTGTGCACCAGGGACTGTCCGCTTGGGTGCTGACTGTGAATCTTTCAAGAGAGCAGGAATGCTGTCAGCTTCTAGGAGCTCTACGAGGCTCAGCTCCTCAACGTCGACTGCGCATGTGGTGCTACGCCTTGTAGAGAGGAGCTGAGGGAATATGCGCTTACTTGGGGCAGTTTGCTTTGCCAGCGCTGACGCCAACGTGAACAGAGGACACGTAAGGGGTCTTTGAAAAGGGAAATGCCTTGTAACAAAGCCGTTTTCACCCTCTTGTAGCGCAAGAAGAGCACACCACCTAGCCTAACAATATTGACACAACAGCTTTTTCAAAAAGTAAAATAAAAACCTACCAGGTAGTATAGAAAGCTGTTGCTTCTCAAGTTGCTCTGCGTCGGAGCTGCGACCGTACATATACCACATCATAACGACCAGTGAGGCATCGAGATAAATACTTTCGGCGGCAGACGTATACAGGAGGCGTACGATATTTTCTAGATCTTGCTTGGAACAAGGGAGTGCTTTCTTTTCAAACGCGCCATCTTCTCGATTGTTGCAGTACAGACAGAATTTTTGTAGCTGAGGCTTCACTATTCCACCTTGCTGCGAATACTTATCCAGCAGCCAGTTCTTCACATTTTCGAAATATGCCAGACACGTATTTGTAGATCGAGATTTGTCTGTTGATCTCGCTAGGGGATATGCATACTTATCTCGAAGCACTTTACCAGTTTTGTCGGCGTCAATAAGTTGATGGACAGCATCGAGTGCTATGCTCTCCGACGCAAGGAGCGTGGTGAACGAGTTGATGGCAGTCGTCCTGGCCTTCTTGCTGTTTGCTGGAGCCAGCGACGCGATGGACATGGCTTCAGCTTAGCAAACTGCTTATGCTTGTGAATTCCCAGCTACCGTCAGATTGGTAGGAAACTTCTGTTTATTTTTAGTACATGCATTACTACAAAAGTTTGTACAATTTTTTTGAGAATACTCCAACTAAATATGGCTGGAAAAGTTGGATATTTTTAAAAGCTCTCCCATTGGCTATAATTCTGTCTTTGTCTAATTTCATTGGCTCATACAAGCTACAGTCGGTTGGATTAAAGTCGATATTATACCATACCCGCTCCAAGTCAAGTACGAGTACCCTTTCTGATTTTGAGGGTATACATGTACACTTTGGTATAATACCATTTCAAATAATAAACCCTCTTTACACGCATGCTGTCGACAAAAAAAACTAAGTTCGTATTGAGGAGGATATAAATTTCTACTACCAGTGTGACTATCACGTAAATGTCAACTTTGACAGTCATTTTCGAATATTTATGCAATGACGCGTGAAGTGTGGTTCCAGTTGGTGGATGGACAAGGCAACGCCGTCGGCTCAGCCGACCGCGTGAAGGGGCTATCTAATAAAGCAGACGTTGTTGATCTCCGAGATGCAGTGAAGGTGAAATACAGCGACAGTCACCTCGCGGGCGTTGCCGGGTCCGACCTCAAAGTCTTTGCGAACCGGGCGGAGATGAAGGCGTTATCAGTAGATGCGTTGATTGGGTCGTTTGGTGTAACAATGATGGATGCACTTATCGTGCAAGTGCCTCAGCGTGCAGCTGTCCTGGATGTGAGCAGTAATCTGAACCGGGTCCAAGTTCAGTTCGCCACTCGAGACCTGAAATATTTACTCGCCAAGGACACAGCAAAGTATAATTGGTTACAGTCACCCGCTTTGACCAATGCAGAAGCCCTCCAGATCCGGGCAGCTGCCCGATCAGCGATCAAATCTTTCACGCGACAAGCCATTAGAACTCGTGAAGGGGTTCTACTGGATGGTCCGCTTAGTTTGCGTCAAGGTCAAGCGAAATCTGGTTTCTACTATGCCTTTTCCACATTCGGTGGTATTTTGGGTGCGAAAGTGTATGGTGCGATGCACAAACACGAATTTCAGAGAGAAGTTGAAGTCAACCTCGCGTTGGGAAGTCACAGCAATATCGTCCAATTTATCAAGTCATTCTCGATTAAAAATGCCGAAAACGAGCCGCGGCATATTATCGTGATGCCGTTCTTTGCTCGGTGTGCTGCCGACTTGCTGATGCAACATTCTCCGGTTGAACCTCGCGCCTTGGTCACCATTGCGCGCGACTGCGTCAGTGCGCTTTGTCATATTCATTCTAAGAAGTATTGCTTTGCTGATTTAAAACCCGCCAATATTATGCTTCATTGTGGGGAACGAGGCGGCGCCACGCTTGTTGATTTCGGGGGTGCGGTGAGACTCGGTGATTCCATTGTCGAGATCACCGAAGAATTCTGCTTAGATGTTGCTATATTGCAAGGCTCCGAGCTCCTTGACTGGACATGTTTGGGCACAACGTTGGCTCAACTAGCGGGTATTGACATTAGCATGTACCACTCGAGACTGCAGCTTATCACGTTCTTAAATGATGGGAACCACTCAGTGAACAAGCTCATCGAACAACTAATCATCAGCTGCCTCGTGAACCCATGTCTGAGTCACATCGAAGCAGCCTTGAAGCCATTGCTCAACTCTTTGTCAGCCTTTATTCACCAAGATCATCAGACAGCATCATTATTGTCGAATGTGTAGCTACTCGATCTGTGAAGAGAACTTTGGTAATAAGCTGCATGTACCGCCGTACACGAGACCAGTTCATGTTTGTGGTGCTTGTTTTCCGCTAGTGCTTGCTTTTATGTAGTGAGAATCAATGCTTTTGTCGCTGCTTGGATACTCGACCGTAACGCTACGATGTCTTCTGCCTGGTACGCATATGTCTTGTGAATTGCGTAACATTTCCGTGAACCTTGTCTCGTCGAGAGTGTGCGGAAAAATTCGACCTTGACTCATTTTAAATACTTCGAAGTAATCGAAACAAAAAATATGACTGGACGTCGAGTGGTTGCATTACAGTGAAGTACGATGTCGGAGCTGGCGCCGACATATTTTTGCTCTGAAGGGTGCTGCGTCTGATAACGTGGTAGTCTTCGTCGACCAGCGAAAGCGTCAGTTCGGTACATTTCATCCCAGTCATGTAAAGGAGTATCTTGGTAAGCTGAGAGTTTGTCCCGATTTTTGTCGTGGCATGTCGTGCGCGTTTGGTGCGAGGGGTCATGAATTCCGTTTCCTCGTCAAAGTTTGCGACGTATGTAGTGCCGCCTAACTGGTATCTCTTGGGCCGAGACCAGATTGAGCAGCTTCATGGAACATTGACGTATCATCCAGCGTGTAGGCATTTATCTCGATTAATTCGGAGTCCAAAACATCTCTCTAAACAATATGTCAAGGCTCCACGGAAGATGTTTATGAATCCGTAAAAGCATTCTCGATGAAGAGAAAGAAACACGGTGGCGGATTTAGCAATTTCGAGGGACTGCGCTTTTTTTTCTTTCAGATAAAAGTTGAATTTGATGTGCAGGATGCGGAGACAGGAAACAAAATTCATTGCGGAATTTTTTTTCAACATTTTTAATGCCATATTCGGAGGCATTAACTCGGTAAGAGGGAAAAATCTATTACACTCTTTCTTTTCTTGCGGTAGATTTAAGTATCTCATTCGGCGAACGCGCAGCTCTGGCTTTACTTTATTTTTTTACTTTAATTTTTATTGAACGAATCTTTGTCCGAAAATGCGCTTTAGTTAAACAAGTTTCGTAGCAGCTGATAGTACCCTTTGCTTCTGCTGCATGGCACCTACTTATAATCCCGAGCGGAACGGTACTTGGACGTAGTTAGAGCGACGGTGTCGCGAAGGATAGCGTCCCCCTCCGCTCGGTCCTCGAACCACTGCATACTCGCATGCGTGCGGTTGACCACATTTAGCAGCGAGAATCCGTAATCTGCCTGGCGGAAAGCCGACCATTCCGGCTGCGGGTCGAAGTATGTCGGTGCCAGACCTTCTCGATTACCGGCGTCACCGAGTACGACGAAAACCGGGCCGTCTTCAACTACCTTCTCCTTGTAAGCCGGGTGACTTCGCTCATAAGCGTGAACGTGTCCAGCGAGCACTACGTCCACCTTGTTCCGGTATAGAATGTCCTCCATGTGCTTCTTCATGACCATGTGCGGCTCAAGACCCTGGTGTGCCGTGTTGCTATTATACCATGGTCCATGCATGATTACTACCAACCACGGGGTGACGCTACGATCGACACGCTGGAACTCTTGTTGTACCCATTCGTACTGTGGCGACGTGGGGGTTGAGTCGACGTATGGTGTTAGGATAATGAAGTGGACGAGGCCAACGCGAAATCCGTAGTATAAATTACGCCGTTGCAGCTGATCCTTTCGATCGTACGGCATGCGGAAACGTGTCTGATACGCGACGAACTCGCTCACGTCCGCTTGGCAGGGACGTTCCACCTCGTGGTTGCCCGGTGCTGTCATCCAGGGCATACGGGCGATCAACGGCTCAACGAGCTTACCCCATCGATCCCATCGGTACTGCTCACTGTCTGCGTATGAGAGATCTCCAGCACAGACGATTGCACTCATCGTCGAATGATAGCCAGCGAGATGGCGAATGGTTTGCTCGGAGTACTCGGTTTGGCTGAATTCGAGCAGTGAGCACGTTAGTAAAAGTCGACACAAAGGTACTAAAGATCGTATGTACTTACCCGAGGTCTCCAATAACACCAAACGTCTGCGATGTCTCATTTCCGACGGGTATAGCCGTCTTGAATGTGTATACGGTACTCCACCCTCCAGTTTCATCTCCACATTGGTCTACACGGCAGGACATTCTGTCAGTGCTCGTATCTTAGCACATGAATGTCCTTTAGATACGTACAATAGTAATTCGTGTTTGGCTCAAGTTTGTCTCCTGGAATCGTCACATGATGTAGCCATGGTGACGTGTACGAGCAGAAGTCGTACTGCTCACAGGGCTCCTCAGACTGCTGTAACATCGATAAATCGTCCTTGGACAGCCCGTAGCGCACCGAAGACGTCATTGTCTTCACGTCCGTCGCCCAGGAAATCGTCATTCCCAACCGGATCTCGGATGCCGCCGCATTTAGCGTTCTACTAGCTGAAGAACCCTTGACTTCCACCTCTTCGGCCAATGCGATGTGGATCTGTGAGGGTGGAGCGGGGTCTGTCACGAGCATTGAGTTCGTGCCCACTAGATTCGCATCATATACAGGCACTTGAGCCATATTAACCAGCACGAAGGCCGACGCGAAGAGCAGCAGGGAGACACCGACTACCGCCATCCTCTTGCTCGGTGTTGAGGTCACTTTGGCTTGCAAGAGTGGGGCTTCCTCTTCGTGTCGGTGGTGCGACTGTGGCTCGAGTTAGTTTGCGGGCGAATCGTCGAGCTGTATGAGGCTACCGTCACCATTTCTAGTGCAACCGCCACACACATTATTCTCTCTTGAAAAACTAGGACTGAGTTAAGTTAGTGGCGCATTGCTGTGCCCTTGCCAGCGGAGCCAGGCAGTTGGACAGATTCAAAGCATTGAATCTTCGTCCTCATGGAGCAGAGCAAGATTGAGCGCACAACAACCATCTGGGATCGTCTTCACTGAATCAGAAATTGCGACGCGCGCTAGAGCAACATAACTGTACGTTGCAGGTAAATTGCTTACGAATTATGCCCGGTTACATGTATTATGTCCGACCAGAAGTCAATGCTAAACAAGTATTAATTTTGTACTGATTTTTGTTAGCTGATTCAGGATCACCTCAAAAATTCACCTACGCTAGCTGTAGGAAGACACGCAAGACCTCGAGCAGCTCGATGGACGCGGACGACGCGGCTCCCGTCGCGAATGGCGCGCCTGCAGCCGCACGAGCACCTCCCGCCCCTGTGTCAACTCCTACGCTGTCGGTGGCTAAAGAAGAGCCCGCGAAGCCCCGCAATGGCGCTCCCAGTTCAATGGGAGCCTTTCCCGCCGCTTCCGACGCCCCAGTGCCGCTCAAACCGAAACCAAAGCCCACATTACGTACGCCACCTAGCAGACTACGTAGTGGAAGTGGTAGTGGCAGCAATACAAGCTCAGGACGCGAGCGACGCGAGTCTGGCGGCCCTCGTCCCGCCAGTGCCAACATGGGCATCGTCGTGGGCACCCTCAGACGCAGAAACCGCGTGAATCTTCGCACCAGCTCATTGTCGGATGAAGAAGCTAATGACGTAGTGTCAGTACCGCCTCGTAGCACAGCGATGCTGGCTCCGAGGCGCAGTAAGAAGCAGCCTAGTCTGCGCAACATGGCGTCACTCGTACGCTCACATCTACGGAGCTCCAAGAGCCTGGTATCTACCTCCAGTGAGTCTACAGATGTGGACGTAGACGCTGACGCAGATACAGACAAGAATCCAGGCCTGGAGCGCAGCAACTCGTCGTTCGCGGGCGTGGCACAGCAACTTGTGACCTCCAGACGTGCAGCCAGAGGCTTCCTGTCCATGTGGACGAAGGATTCCACCGAGACGATGCACGTGTATCGAGGTATTCACATGGAGAAGAAGAAATTGGACCTTGTGAGTGTCGCGTCTGAGTATAAGGAGATCAAGCGTCGACAGTTCTACCAGGAACTGGTAGTCTACGTCGTTTTCTTGACGTTCCTCTTCTCGCTGCTCTCGTGGCTGCCAGTACAAGACAGTTTCCACCAAAACGACGTGGTGGGCGCTCTTACGTGTCGTGAAGAGGGCGAGTGTGAGATCAAGACCTTCGCAGACATCTACGACTTCGCCGGTAAGCTGCGAGACACCGTTTGTGAGCGTCAAGACGTTACAGCGCAATGGGTACGCGTGGGTGGCGTAGGTTTCCGTCAAGTTCGAGTCAAGGAGCTACGCTGTCGAGTCTATGATGGCTGGGAGGCTCCGTGTTACCCGTTCTACAGTCCAGAAGCGGAGCAGAAGACGTCTATACTAGGAGAAAACGGTACTGGTCGCGTGTACGAGTGGAGAGATGGTCTAGGAGATCTGTCACCGGAGATGTACAGGTCTGCAATCGACTGGCTGTTCTTCGGTCCTGTGCCATCGTACGGCTCAGGTGGCTACGCTGTGGATCTGTGCGATCTGGAGGATGTGGAGGAGCTGCAACGGGATCATTACCTCTCCGAACATACCCGCGCTGCGGCATTCAAGTTCATTTTGCTGAACCCGATCACTCGTGTGTTTACTATTGGAATGCACGTGATCACAGTGGATCCTTCGGGTCATATCGATCACTTCGCTCATAGTTCTCACGTTCGAGTGATCGGCCACGAGAAACCAGAGCAGTTTACGATCACTGACGACAGCGTGGAGGCACCTCCTAAGCCCAAGCTTCACCGCAGGATCTTCGATGCTCTTAGAGGCTCCATGTCCTTAGTTCGTGAGGCTTTCGACGTGCGTGTACTGCTGTGGGTCGCGCTGGTCTTGTTCTTCATCACTTATTGTATAGGAGAGGCCACGGAGATGAGTACGATGGGTGTGTCGACGTATCTTGGCTCGGATATGTGGAATCTGTTCGAGCTGAGCCACTTGGTAGTGCTGGCTGCGATGCTGAGCTACATGGTGCACTACTACATGGCGTCCAGTAGCTTTGCACTGCATTTAGCGGAACTGCGTGAAGGTCGAGGAGTGGAAGAACTGAGTCACACAAGCTCTCAAGAACTATTGACTGGCTTCCAGCAGTTATCCGACCTCGCGTCGCTGGGCTCTGCTATCAGTTTACTCAAGGTGTTCAAGTTTTTACGTATGAATGCGACGCTGAACTTGCTCTGGCGTGTGTTGGGTATGGCGATGAGTGACCTCATGGGCTTCCTGGTTATCTTCAATCTCATCTTCCTGGGATATTCAGCGATGGGTAGCTACGCCTTTGGCTTCGCTCTTGAAGAGTACTCGACCATCAGCAAGTCGTACGGTACGTGTTTCCAGATGCTGGCTGGAGAGATGGACTACGGACGATTGCAACAGGCGAACCCTCGCGTTGCTCCGCTGTTTATCGGTACCTTTGTGGTGCTGGTTTTCCAGATTTTAGTCAACATGTTTGTTGCTATATTATCCGAGTATTATGAAGTCGCCAAGAACGACGAGACAGCCAGTGGAGAAGACGTCGAGTACGATGTACTCGCTCGAATCCGCAGCTTTGTGAGCGCGTGTTCGCCCACGGTTGTTGTGCCAAAGGACCACGGAGTTATTCGTCTTATTCCATGGCAACAAGTTCGTCTTATATCGACGAATCTAGTCGACCAGGAGGAGACACGTCAACGTGTCAGGAAGCTGTTCCGTGGCGCAGTATGGCGCGTCGTTGCGTTGCTACGTTTCGGTATGAAATTCGACCGTAGAATCAATTTTGGAGACCGCAAGACGCACGATGGAAGCACGCACAATGGCAATGGGGGATCTCCAGGTGGTAAGGAAGATCGTGAGCTTGTGTCGCACATCCGGTTGTCCGAGAACTTTGATCACAAGACCATCAAGGAGATGATTCCTATCGGCATCACGATTCGACTTCAAGGAGACTCCATTCTTGGCGACGGACTCGCGCTTAAGGTTGTTCATCACGGTAAATTGTCTGTGGAGTGTATCGTTCTAGGCCCCAATGAGGCAGAAGCCGGGTCGAATGCACCTGGGAAGATCAACGGCGGGTTGCATGCCTTCGCTCCGCCACGCACGATCTCGTCGTTAGGCTCGTTTGAGGACGATTCCGACCTGGACGACGGTGCACCAAGAGAGCGTGTGCTAGAGCTGATGGGTGGAGAGAAGCTGAGGATCCCGAGGAGAAGACTGGCAGTGCATTTGTGTCGTATCATGTTCCAGGAACTAAAGAATGGGCTTCTACGTGCTACCAAGTTGTGGAACTACTCCAAGGACCACATGGTGGACGACTATCATCTCGGCCTGCTCTTTGATAGTGTCCGTGCTGATGGGCGTACTAGTCTGCGTTTCGACGAGATCTCTCGCATGCTGGATCTGTTCCTGCGTAAGGATAAACGCAAGGCGATGTGCTCTCAAGCCGAAGTACGACGTGAAGCTCTTCAAGTGATGTATCGCTTCCGTAAGTGTCTGATTGACATGCCGTCGCGTGAAAAGGAAGGCCACAACTACCGTCCGAAGCCTGTTGATACGTCCAAGGTCGAACTGGGTCATCTTGAACATCTAGGCGATGTGTTAGCACGCAATTGTCACGATATGTGGGCGTTAGAGCGTCTCAAACAAGGCTGGCAGTATGGTGAGGAACGAGATGACAAGAAGAAGAGACACCCGAACTTGGTGCCGTACAAGTTACTCTCTGTGGAAGAACAGGCTTTCGACTACCGCTCGTCCATCGAGACGATAAAGACGATCGTCTTTATGAACTACGCCATCACTCGTGCCAACCACCAGCGCTCGCACAGTGGCTCGTTCCATGACTCTGTGTCTCGATCGGCTTCTACGATGTCAGATATCGCTGATGGAATGGGAGGGAGCAACAGTTCATTGTTGAGTGGCGGCTCGGAGTCGACAAGTCCAAGAGCCAACGACGCCGCCGTTTTCGAGGAGTTAGGAACAGCTTCTCACCCTGGAACACCGGCACGGCCTGTACCTTCATTATTACGTGAAGCGATGAGCTTTCGACGCAATAGTCTGATGGGCGATTCTCCGTACTTCACGAGCTATGGAGAGGGCGGTGTGGAGGTGTATCGTCCTCTTCCTATTGACACCACGACGGTCGAGTTGCCTCCGAGACTGTTGCGTCTTGTGGATTTATTGGCTGAGAACGCACACGAAGTCTGGGCTAAGGGACGAATGGATGAAGGCTGGACGTACGGTCCGCAGCGTGACGATAGCACCAAGAAACATCCGTGTCTGGTGCCCTATGTGTTCCTCACGGATGACGAAAAGGAGTACGATATCAACATCGCTAAAGAGACCCTCAAGACGCTCATCGCGATGAAGTTTACAATCCTCGACCGCTCCAGCAAATATTAAATCTTGAGGTGGATATGACATGTTAGACATCCACACTTACATGTAGAAATATTGACTTGGCTTCCATGAATCTCAGGCCTTGTGTTGGATCTCGGTATAATGCTCATATGGTGGATGTATTATATAAATTGAGGCGTGTGTTGCTACCTTACTCTTCATCGGGTGCGTTCATGAGGATATCGGTAGCTGCTTCAATGGTGATGCATAGGCGCACAAGCTCACGTCGTACCGTCATGGCGTTGCCACGCTTGAGTTCGTGAGTGACGCCAGGGAACAGACTCACTCGATAGTCATCCCACTCGGAAATGCCGTACAATACCTACATCAAACGTTAGGACCTTCCTGATAAATTTCAGATTGACATAAGGCACACTTACGTTCTTGATCCAAGGCATGTACATGAGACCTGAAGGGAGCACGAACGCACGTTGTGCACGCAGTAGACGATTGTTGATCAATCTGACGCGGCTGAAGTCGTGCTCTTGGTCGGAAATGACGTTCATCTCGTGACTCACACTGATAGCAGCGGCTTCGAAGGCGGTAGTGGCGTTGTGTAGACGAACAAGAGGCACCACTTCGGCCAGTCCTTCACGTGCTAGTGCATCCTCCAAGAACGCTTCACCTCGACGGAGTTCTCGTGATAATTCCGTAAAGTCATACTGCAAGAACTGTGCGTCCGAGAATGACAACAGAATACTGCCATAAAGCTCAGCAGCAGCACGGTGGAAAGCGAACTGAGGGTCAGCGAAGTGCGAGATCCACGCAGGGACGTCAGCACCGGTATTACCCACACCGAAGTAGCCTCCATCAAAGCCAAGCTCCAGCGACGGGATGCCCAATCGTCCAAGGAATGGGGAGATACGTCCACCCATGCTCTTCTCCATTGGTGGCAGCTCTAATTCAACACCACCTGGGTTCTTCTTGTTGGCATCTTCAAGCCAATACGCAAAGACAGAGTTGCCACTGCCCTCAGGGAGCTCGTTACTTGAAAAAGTTGCGTTTACTGGCAACATGTCGAGATCGTCTTCATCCTTACTGGAGCTCCCAGTAGCTACAGCTGAAGTAGCGGATGCGTTGCTGAAGAAGAAGCTGTCGACGTCAGGATAGTCTTGTTTCTTCGGTTGAGCAACCGCTGCAGTCATGAGATAAATGTTCTTGCGGATGGTAGCCGAGGCCTTGCAACGAAGTGCACCAGCACCACGTACAACGTCGTCTAGATGTAAATACACTACGCCACGTCCAGAGTTGCCACTTCCAAAGCTTGGGTACCGGTCGATCCAGTGCGAGCTACCAACGGAGCCGAATTGCTCGCCACCAAACGATGCGAGCACCAGCGTACGATACGGGGTCCATCCATTCGACACGAGTGTTCCCAACGCTCGGACAACTTCGAGAAACACAGCGTTACCTGAGCCTGGACTTACAGCACCAGCGTTCAAAGAGTCACGTGGCGCACCGACCAGGACATGGCGATCCGGTTCACGAGAGCCGTGCACAGTGATCACCACGTTCCACGTCGTGGTTAAGTTGTACACATTGTGGTTCGCCATCTTGACGATAACATCAACGTCTTCTGACTTGGATGTTTCGTCATCTACTGGAAGCAAGTACTCGACACCCAAAGCTCCACCTTCCCATCGAGTTCCGAAGACATCAGCGGCGTCAATCAGCTTCAACGTTGCTACCTTCTTTGAAGCAGCTTCGGTCTGAAGTAGCAGGTCTTGAGCAACTGCAGCGCTAATAGGCATACTGACAATTGGCGGGAGCATGTTGAACGTGTTGTTCACCGAGTAAATGTCGTCAACAGAGAGACGATCGGCATCGGTTCCCATGGGTCTTGTCGCTGAGAATCCTTCCGGCATGGTCGGATCACCGTCTCCCATGTACACGTTGCCGAATGTTGTGGTTGTAGTAGGACGCCATGGCCCATCGGGTGCTGTGCGTCCTCGAGCTGGGCCATCGTCGGCCGGGTCAGTGTAGGTGAGTACACCGACAGCTCCAAACTTGGAGGCTATGACCACCTTTGCCGGTAAAGAGATGTCTCCTCCTATGCGAACCAAAGCGATTTTACCAGAGACGGTAATGTTGTTCAATGCCAGAGCTTGATAGTCTTCAGAGGAGCCGAAATGTGCATACACAACCGGTCCAGATACGGAGCCGTTCTTGGAGTACAAGTGGAATGCTGCATAAGGTTTAATCAAGTTCTTGCCTTTTGCCTGTCGTTTGGCCTGTCGAGCAGCATGTTCAGCAATGAAATCGTACGACGCTAGCGACGTGTTATTAGGCAATTGGAGAATATCCAGAGTGAGGGTCTCAGGTGCGTTGACGAGCATTTCGAACTCGTCAATCTTGATGTGACCCTCTTCAAAGCCAAAATCGATTGCACTCGAGCGGATAAACTTTGCCATCTCGTAGTCCCCAGTGCTGCCGGTGTGGCGAACGACCTGTCAATGTGAAGAAGAAAAATAAGTTAATCATTATTTTTGCAACTATTTCGCATTAAACGTACGTCAGTGTAAAACTCGAGGTTTTTCTTGAACCCATCGGCTGAAGTTGCAGCAATGAAATGATGTTGAATGGCAGGTGTTGAGCTATGATAAATTGGCAAATTAGTGTTCAGTTGATAAAAGTGGCAACTTGCCATTTGCATAACTTACCCGTAATTCTCTTCGTGTCCTAGGACACCCAAAAGCATGACACAAGTTGCGCTGGCGAGGACGAGACCCAGCACGAAAGCGATACCTACGCGTCGTCGACGGATAATTTCCGCTTCAGTGATGCCTTCGCTTAGGTGGGCCTCGCGCGGACTGTCAGCATACACATTGGACCTCGTCAAAGGCACCTTGGACTCATCGGCGTTGCTGTCGTCGTCATCAAGATCCAGATCCGGGAGCACCTTGAGTGCGTCGCCCTTGATGATACTGGTCCTGTCATCGAAAGCCCCCATGACTGCTGAAGGTTGTTCTGAGGCCTGCTTGCTGCTTTGAGCAATGGAAACTTCGCCCAAGTAGTAGGAGAACGTGAAACTCCACTTATACTTTCTATCTTCGGCGTGTCTGAGAGCCCTATTTTTGCCAAGATATTTTTACTACAAGTAGTATTCGACAAGCAAGACGATGGTGCTGTCATTGAAGACAGCAACACGTTTTTGTCTCGAGACCACCCGGATTCTACAAGAGTCAAAAGTTTTTTGGCTTGCTACATCTGAGACTATTATTGCACACTTTTGGCAACTTCAACGACACACATTTTGCATTGTCCGGCTTCATAACATCGAGTCGGTTCAAGCAGATCGAAGCGCAGGATACTGTAGACACATTGCAAGTCAATTGTTGAAGGACATCATACTGTTTTTGGCTTACACATGCCACGCCTGCCTTTGGCGTTGCACTTGTCCTTCTCTCTCCTCCTTCTACTTCGTCCCAGGACACTCTGCGTGTCCCTGCATCCTTAATCATACACTATTACTAAGTACCTATCACACACAGGAAAGGAGACTCTTACTGCGCATTAAGGCCAATGCCTCAGCAAGATCACCCTTCAGTTCTCACGCGCTGCCTTTCAGCATCGCGGTTTTCCTTCCTCTTCTCTCTTGTTTATTGCTTTTCTTGTCATGTTTCTTTCATCAAAACACTCACTCACTCACCAGCTCCTTTAACTGAAGCAGCTGATGCTTCGCACTTTCTTCTTGGTCTGCCCCTCCAACATACTCTCAGCCTGACCAGTGGACTCGGCCACGATGGCATCAAAGAAGGCAACACCGTCCTTATCCTCCGACAAGCCCGTTCCTTCCACGATCTCCACTGCCTTGGCGACAACCAATTCCAGCTGCGAGGGGGACGTGAAGTCACCGTCGCGCTGCAGCAGACTGCCGATCTCAAACAGTGAGAATCCAGCCTCCGCTCCACGCTTCAACATCGCTGTACACACACGCATCGTCGTCACACACTCCTCTTCAATCCCAACAGCACGCAGCACAGCCGCATCGCGCGCCTCATCCAACGACGCGATGTGGTCGAGCTCAGCACACGTGAACGGGAACTCGGCCTGCGGCCACTGCAGCCAGTCGAACGTCGCGCCATCCAGGTGCTTGTAGGACGGCAGACAGAAGCCGTGGTCGATCGGGGTCATAGCAAACGTCTGGTCATTCGGCCGCGCACTCAGCAAGATGTTGCCGGCGTGACGGTCCGTGTTGAATAGACGCACGTCCAGAATACCGATCTTGTGCACCTCAGGGATCGCGAACTTCAGTGTACCCATGTCCTCAGCTGAGCACTGTGAGGCCACAAAGCGTTGCATTGAGCCTTCCTTGTCCTCTCCATTTACATTCAAAACCATCAAATTCGTCTCAGGCACATCACTAAAGTTGCCATAGGCGTTGTCCAGCAAATAGGCGGCACGTTCACGGAGCGCGCCGTTGCCAACACGGAAGCCCTTGTTGACGGGGTGCTCGGTCACGCCCACCACGGCGTTTTCCTTCACATACCCTCGTGGGTTCTTAGGTGCCATGTACTCTTCGTCTCTCGGCTTAAAGATACCCATGGGGTTCATCTTCTTACTAGGAGAAATAGTCGATTCCGTCGTCAAAAAGTACGCTCCACCGCAGCCTTCGCTGGTCAACTGGAACGTGCTACTCACATCTGCAGCCATACACTTGACCTGGTCGGCGAAGCGCTCGGAGGCCTCCGTGGTGAGCCATTTGGCTTCCAGCCCAGTAGGCAACTCGATCTCCGGCTCGACGCAGTCCTTGGCATGCTCAGCCGTGAGCGACTCGCTGTCACGCTTGAAAGGAAGCGGCGAAAGGCGGAACTGCACGATCGGGTACAGTTTGGTCACCACTGTGCGTTGCACCAGACCCTTGGCGTTCAACATGGCCGAGCCGTGCAGTCGAAGGCGACTAAAGCGGCTTGGGGATCTCTTACGTCCATTTTCGTTCTGTATATCGTTGTCCACCCTGTCCGAGCTCCCGCGAAACCAGTCAACAGCGCCCATGCTTTCTCTCTCTGTACTTGAGTTTCTTTAGCTTAGCTACGCGAGGTCGGATGGGCGGGGCAGGGCTGAGGGCTTCTGGCTGGTAGAGGCGAGAGGCGAAGAAACGGAAGACAGAGAGAGGCACGAGAGAGACAAGGACTTGTTCTCTCGGGCGGTGGCGCTGGGACGGAGGCGAAGGCGGAAGCTTCAAGCGCTACTGGGAGGCTTGTCTGTAGGAGTGCAAATTGCGGAATGGCGTCGCAGAAGCGGGGCAACAAAAAAAGTAGTCAGCGCGCGATTGGCACTGTTGCATTTGATTGCAGTAAACAGGTAGTTTTGAATGAAAAAACGCTCAATATTTGAAGTCAATTTTCGAATAAAAAGCTGTATATTAATTAAAATAGAGAGGTGCTGGAAAGACGAACGAAAGAGCGCATTTGTAGAATTTACTGGCGGTTTGCACCAAACTTTTGCAACTGTACTGTAAGCAGGTGTCGCCTTCAAGGTTGCCTTGAGACGTGCTACCGACAACGCGTCCCACACAATAGGAAAGCCTCAGACGCTTAGGTGTAAACACGCCAAAAAATCTTTTAGCAAGAATTGAAGCGCGAAAAGAAGTCGTATTATAATGATACTAAAGGATTTTCTCTCAGCTGGCATGTTGGCGCTGTGTAAGCGCATCTGCAAGCCGCAGTGTTGATGCCCGTTCCGAAGGCGGTGGTGATCTGCGATAAGTGATGAATAACAAGACGAAAGGGCGCGACAACGCCCCGTTTGTGAAGAGGTCGGTTTCAGCACTGCACAGTGTGCATCAGCGTTGCCAACGATGATATCTACGGCAGCTCAGAGTCTCCACTTGACCAACACGCCATCGTAAGTCACGGCCCCGACCGGTACTGGTGTCCTCAAAGAGTTAATCGCATGAAAGCCTGCGCTGGGACCTTCCTCGGTCGCCCCTACGCCTCTCCCTCTTGCAAGTGCGAGTCGACCACGTGCTTTTCGTCGAACGTCTCCGCACTGAGCGGCCTGATGAGACTTTCGTCATAAGAAGGGCTACCGGCAAATTGCCGGCGGCAATGCTGCGGACACTCACATAATAGCAGGATAAACAAGGCTCACTTATCAGGAGCAAGTCCGTGTAAGCGCAGCTCTTCAAAAGCCTAATGCAGACCTTGCAGACATCCTACATGTTTTTTTTTCTAAAAGAGTGTCAGCGCTGACGGCAAGCGGGACGTTGGCGTGATGCTTCGTCGAATCGACACCTTCAATATGCGAGGGTACTGTACATGTATAAACCCTTTGGGCCTTTTAATAAAATGCAGCTCTGTCATCGACCTTCTCTCAATCGAAGCGCCACCTCCGGGAGTGAGGAACTACAATACAAATTCAGATTGCGCTCTGTGGATTCCTCGAGGCTATATATTCGATTTGTGGCCTCTCATGATAAAACAGCAACAGGGATTTATTTGCTACACATGTAGCAAATTTAAGCTAGCTACAAGTATGCGGCCGGTGAGCCACTCGTTCTCACCGATGCTTGTACTGGATAGTGCTCCTTGAGCACTGGTAAGCTGACAGAGGCGTCTCTAGCGACTTGGTGGAGTCTCGTCACAGGGCTCTACAGCACTCGACATTACTGCAATCTTTGCTTCTGCACAATTTAGCAAATAGCGGACCGCGTGTACCGGTGTGCGCACAGGTGTTGTTGGTTACCAATACTGGTGCAATTTGCGCAGTGAAGGGCTGCGCTCAAGGATTCAAAAACCGGTTGCACTGACGATTCGGTTCTGATTGCAAATCGGTTGTGAAAATTGTCGTGAAATTAGTCGGCCTCGACGCTCAATAATAGCACGTCACCACGGTGTTGCAAGTTTCGCCGCCACGAGGACTTACGCTTCCCTCGAACGAGCTTCTTTGGTCATTCCTACTGTCGCTACCTACGTGGTGCCACCGGTGGCGCCCGTTCGGAGGCTCATTCGCAGCTGCATCATATCCAGACTTGGCGCCAGATCGAAGGAGAAAGAAAAGTGGCGTGGCACTATCATGGCTGGGCCCTTATGAGCTGCTGGCAGCGCGCCATGCCGCTGGACGCGTGCAAAACGAAATGTAATATACCACATAATCTGCCTCTGCCCCGGAATGGTGGCCTACAGCGGCTCAAACTATCTCTACTGCCAGGCTCTACCGTGCCAGCATGGTGGCAAGGTCACGAATGCAACAGCTCTCCTAGCCTCATCTCCACTTAGCAAATACCGTGGCTCACCGGGCTAAATCCGAATGGGTTCAATGGGGCCCACCCGCGCATAGCCGGCCTATTTTTGGCGCCAAGGGCGGCGACTGGTCGAAAAGCTGAAGAGATCATTATTTCGATTCGTGCAAAGTCGTCCTCCGACTATCCACCAATGAGGCACTTCCTGCCCGCCCGGGCTGTATCATTAGCCCGCCAGCCCATATTGCCAGCAATACCGGTTTGCCTCGATGATGCTTGGCCATCGTGTCGGCCCCTCTTCCTCGCGCTCTTGCCGCCATTCCGTTGTTTTCCGTGGCCTGCGCAAGCCTCGTGTTGTATATTCCCCTCTGTGTCTAGTCGTTCCCCTCCATACCTGTCAATATGTCTGCTGTGCCTGTGTCCACCATGCCGTATGAACTGCCCGAGGCGTGCGCGTCCGAGGCGCACGAGATCATTCAATGGGCCCTACTCAAGGAGAAGCACTACACAGCGGTGCGTAATCCGCTGTACCTCTCGGAGGTTCAACGCCACGGAATGACATCCACCTGGCGTCTGCGCGTCTGCCGCTGGATGTTTGAGACCGCGAAGGAATTCGAGCTACAAATGGACACGGTCTTCGGCGCCCTGCACTTCCTGGACCAATATCTCAGCGTACATTCGGTGGACCGGGTAACACTGCAGCTTCTGGGTATGATCTGCATGTGGACAGCCAGCAAGATGCATGAGGGCAAGCCAATCCTTCTCGAGGAGATGGCGCTCATGTGCGAGCGCAAGTTTTCGCGAGCACAAATGGTCGACGCCGAGGCGCAACTCGTACGTCTCATCGGGTTTCGCTTCAACCCCCCGAACGTCTTCACTATGGCCCGAGACTTCGTTAACGAGCTCCCTTTCGACGGTGACGCCGACCGTCGCGCCAACTGCGTCGCCTCCGTGTTCAATCTGCTCGAACGCGTGGTCGAGGACACGTCATGTCTCGATTGCACAGCCTCGAGTCTGGCTAAGGCCGCTGTTCAACTCGTTGCCAAGTCAGAATACAACCTTACAGTCACACAGGTTCTCAAGTCTCTCAAGACGGTTAAAATCGTGGAAAGTGCCTACCGCGCAGCCTTCAAAATTGTGCGTGGCGCTTACTTCGGCACGTCCTTCGCTGCGACTCGATCCAAGACGTCACAAACCGCTGTCTCGGAGATGGTGGAGCCTCTCAAAGCTCTGACCCAGAGCCCCACATCCATTGAACAAGGCCCGTCGCTCCAGGACGACGAAGTGTCATCAGACGGCAACACTCTGGACGACTCGTACCTCATCTGTACCGAGACGCTCTCCCCGTCTCCCTCACGAGCATCCCCTGCATCCGTGCGAACGAGTGCATCTACCTCATCAACCATCGGTGTAACTCGGACTGCGTCATCACCAGCGCAGTCCGAACCCGATACCAAGCGACCCAAACGCCAGCGCAAATTGAGCATGCAGACACAATAGGAATAAAAAACAACACAAAATTGTAGATAGGAAACAATCGGAAGCTAAAAATAAAACTAATTTATACTCGAGACTCTCTACTCTTCCGAGTCGCTTATCTCGATACACGTCATGCTACCGTCGCTGTCCTCTGCAGGACGTGGAGCACCGTCATCCTCGCTTTGATGACGTCGACGTTCTTCTTCTTGTTCTTGTTGCGTGAAGAACAATCTTCGAAGATCTCCAGTGGACAATCGCGTCTCTCGTAGTCTGTTCTTCTTTGCACTCGACAAGACATCGCCATCGCCTAAGAAGGCAGCTGTAATCTGCCGCTTCTTGTTCTGCAATTCTACGACACGTTCTTCAATTGAGCCTTTCACAATGAACCGAACAACGCGAACTTCTCTCGTCTGACCGAAACGATGAGCACGATCGATAGCTTGACGCTCAAGACTCGGATTCCAGCTCGGCTCCATGATGAACACATGTGCGGCAGCTGTAAGGTTCAATCCCAGTCCACCAGTACGTAGCGAGAGCAACAACACATCGAGCGGCGGACCAACCACGGGTCCTCTGTCAAGACTTTCTTCCTGTTGCTGGAAATTCCGCACAACTTGTTCGCGATCTTTGGCTGGCATCCTGCCGTCTAGCTTGGCGAATGCTATGGCCATACTACCAGTCTCTGGTACGTCATCCAACGACGAAACTCGCGTCTCACACTGAGTATTGTGAGCCTCTAGACGCTCTGCAATCATATCGAGGAAACTCGTCCACTGCGAGATCACCAACACTCGCTCTCGACGGGCTCGCACCTTCTTCAGCTCCTTCATCAACGCTGTCAACTTTGTCGATTCCAACGGATTACACCCAGCCACAGTATCAGAACTCGAGCGCTCCTGGAGACTCTTTAACAACTCCGCTTCTCCCGTGGAGAACGGAGAGATACCGTCTCTTCCTTTGCTGACCAAAGCTTCCGCACTTTCAGCTCGTGTTTGGACCTCAGCCAACGGGTCTGCAGTCACCAGAGCACAGGAATCACACACCTGTCGCAGTCGTAAGATGAGCTCAAACACGTGCATGAAAAGCGGTCGCTCTTCTCCATCTTTCGTCGGTGTAGTGAGAGGCACCCGACGATTTTGTTTAGCTTCTTTGGACTGCAAATACCGAAGCACTTGACGTTTAGTCGAGCGATGAAGCAGCATATACAGAGCTCGCTCGACATCTGAAGCGAACTCCAGCTCGATAGTCTCTTCAGTTTTAATCGGTAGATCCAGGATAGGAGCTCTGGAACGCGCGTCCAGTGTAGACTTCAATCGTCGCATCACGACACGAGGCACTAACGCACTTAGCTCCCGTTCAGATAACGCATGCGCACGGTTGCCAAGACCAACGAACTGCAGCAACGCTGCCAAGTCGGCTGTTCCATTCTGGATTGGTGTTCCAGTCACACACCAACGACGTCGACTGCCAAGTGTAAATGCAGCTCGTGCTCGAGCACACCCGGCGTTCGAGATCAAGTGACTTTCATCCAAGATTACTCGGAACCACTGCAGTTGATGGAGCTTCGACGTCACCACAGACTTTTTGGACTGCGGAGTAAGACGAGGTGCTTGATGCCATCCGTCCTCTGCAGTACCGTCGCCATGTTCTTCATTGTCACTGTCCTTGTCTCGAACCTTGCACTCCAATAGTCGGAGAGTGTCGTATGTCGAGAGAACAATATCTGCTCCCATGAACTGAGTGGCAGAGCGGAAGCTCTTGCGTGTGGTTCCTTGATACGTCACCACACTTAGATTTGTTTTGGCGCGGATCTCTTGCTCCCATTGTGACAAGATAGACAACGGCGTTACGATCAGTGTCGGTGCAGTAAGACGAGGCACTGTACTGCCTGTCTTGCTTCTCTCTTTAGCATCTGCTGCTCGCGCTCGACGTAGAGATTCACAGATTAGAGCAAGACAGCATATCGTCTTTCCAAGACCCATTTCATCCGCCAGTACTCCTCCACATACTTTCGCAACTAACGCGTCAATCGCAGTAGCGTCCCCGCGCCGTTGCTGGTCAATAGTAACATGGTCTCCAGGCTCCTTCTCTCGTTCCAGCATCCACTGCAACGCCTCTTTTTGATACGGTTGCAGATCCACCATGAGCTCCGGCACGACGTACGGGAACACTCCTGGCTTCGCTGCAAGAGACTTACGACGTCTTTTACGTCGGCGTCGATCGCTTGCAAAGCGATACTCCATTTCCAGTGGCAGCTTCGTATGCAATAGTGCACCTCGGTTTGCACGCTTCCTCGACAAAGCTGATCTAGAAGACGGTGGGGCTGTAGGAGGCGTCTGCATTGCTCTCTTTGCCGAAGGTGCAGGAGATCCGTGTGGCGCTTTCCTCGCTGACGAAGCTGTAGGAGGAGAAAACGTGGTCCGTCTCTCGGATGAGGCTGTCGGAGTAGCATACGATCGCTTCCGCGCTGACGAAGCCGTGGGAGTTGCGTTGGATGTTTTTCTTGCTGACGAAGCTGTGGGGGTCGCGTACGACGTTCTTCGGACCGAAGAAGCAGTGGGTGAAGCGAATGTTGATCGCGTTCGAGTCGCAGGATTCCGCTTGGTGACGCTCTTTCGTTTAGTGGAAGCAGGACTTGATGTTTTGTTTGATTTCGCTCGAAGCTCTTGCTGTTTATCTGTGGCTCGTGTGTCTTCTTGAGTTGATTCTCCAACTGGTTGACTTGCCATGGGTGACTGAGGTGCACTTTCCACGGCTGGTGGCTCTGGTTCGTGCATGTTTACGTCTTGTTGTTCACTTTCTTGTTGTTGATTCTCGTCGCCGTATTCAGTTCCATCTCCAAACTCAAAATCAGGTTCTGAAGCCCATGGAGGTCTCTCGGTTGTATCTTCAGGTGGAGGGGATCGATTCCTTTCGGGAGGGATTGGGACACCCCCATGCGTCTTTTCCTCCTCGACCACAGCCTCCGCTTCAGGTTCAGCCTTGTCTTCGATGTCATCCTCTTCACTATCACTACTGAACACCAGTTCCTTAGATACATTCATCTCTTCATCATCCGGGTCATGATGCACCATAACATTCTCTGCAGCATCTTGTTCGTCCACACTTTTCTCTTGACATTCGACAATTTGCACTTGCCCCTTATCCTCTTCACTATTTACTTCCTTGATTACCGCAGCCTCTTTTTCTTCAACATGTGCTTCAGACACATCGATCATCTGCGTATCTTCCACCTCTGCGGCATCATCCTCGAGGCTCCGTTCGTTCTCCTCATCACTCAGATGCATAGAGTGCATAGACACATCCAGATCTTCTCTGAAACTCGGTTCTAGCGACCGACGAGGTGTTCGTCGCGTCTTTCTAGCAGGTTTCGGCGACCATTGGCCGGGTGTCCAGGGCGACTTGGCAGCCCCCGAGGGAGGCGAAATTGTGCCTGCACACTCAATTGATGTGCGTCTACTATCAGCAATGGGCGACACATCAGCCATTCGCACTTGCAATCGCTGTGAGGCGCTCACGCGGCGTTGAGGGGTCGATTGAGACGCGAAATCTTGCGAGCTAAACGCTGGAAACATGCTCTGGCTCTCCGGCGACGGTGGCGTACTGTACACGTACGATCCGTCAGAGACAATTGAGTTCTGCGGTGCTGAAAACGTTTGTGACGCTGGGGTAGGCGCGTTCCATCGACTGTGGTTGGGCGGAGCGTGCTTGATACCCACCGACGCCAGGGCTTCTCGAAGCTGACGCTCATCCTTCTGCGTCACAGCTGGAGAACACTGCAGTGCGTATTTACCAAAGTGGTTAGCGATCACTTGCCGCGCGTAGTCGCGCCAGTCGCGCTCGTACTCGCGCTGCCATCGCCCTGCAGGCGTCATGGCCGCCGACCGATTTCAAATTTAAATTTTAAATGTGCAAGTTTAATTTCAGCCAACCAGAGGTAAGTACATCCAAGAGAACATCACGCTCGAAGCAAGCGACAAAAAAAGGTTGAAATAAAAATATTGTGGAAGTGAGAGTGTTGAGGAAGTAGTTCTTTGGATTCCATTAGATACTTCAATGCGCTCTCGGAGAGTCGCTCTGCTAGTTTGCCACTACTACCAAAACAGGGGAAGCGACAGGCAGGGGCCCTCACTCGAGCTGCCACGCGTCCTTCCTCAGAATATTGGCCAACGAGGTCGGGCTATTTTCTCTTGGATGCTGGCAACAGACGTCTTTACTGGTACTGGGGGGGGCTATAGAAACAAGGTGAGCTCCCTGCATCTGCGTCTAATGCAGGGACTTGACACGATTTCAGACTGGAAACGAGGACATGAGGCTATCGCCGCCGCACAGCAAATCGCTGGAACAAGCTGCCAGTCGATTGTGATCGCTGGGGAGCTTCATTCGCCCCCGGCAACGAATTGGCATTCTTTCTTGTCGTAAAGGGAAACCCACGTCGTGCGGCCGATGTTTGCGAGCTCCTCTCTTCAGCAGCCTGTAGCAAAGACTGGCAGTCGTGGAAACGCAGATTCTCCGGACTGAGCACAGTGTACACCGTACTGTCGTCGCTCTGCTGGTTAGAGGCGGTTGGGTACGGCTCCGGGTGTGGGCCAAACAAGCTGGTAGCAGCCACACTGGCGTAGTACCCAGACTTAGACTGAGCCATAGTAGCCAAGTGGAGTCCATAGCCAGCCAACGACGAGGTCGACGAGACAGTCGAATAGTTGAGTGAAGCCACAGAGTTGCTGTGTTTCAACAGATCCGACTTGGACAACGGACCCGAATGGCCAATCTGGTTGTCTCCCTCGAACTCGTCACAGTTCGTGACAGACGGACACACAGCCATCGAGTCTAGCGATCCGATTACTGAGACGTGATCGTCCCCATCCGCCCTGTCCTTTGAGCGCAGAGACTGACGCAGTTGATTGCATTGAGCATTCAGCAGCGAGTCGAGAGCTGTAAAGCTGTCACGGTTGTTGCTAGAAGCAAGGTCGGCAGTCGTGAATTCCAAGTCACTAAAGTATCGGTTGTTACTATCATCCTGGTCGTAGGACGGAGGTGACGAGGTTTTCCTCACCGACTCGCCCTCCGTGCTAGTATCCGACATGCATTCTTCATCCACGCCACGCCAACGTTGCCGTCTGGACTTGACCACATCATAATTAAAGCCATACTCGCCACCACTCGTCATCTCGTCAGCAGTAGGAGAGTGAGCCTCAGATTGTTCCCCAACGATTGAGTTCAGGTCCGAGTTGTAGTCGTGTACCGTTGGCTCCGACGACTCGCCGATAAGCTTCTCCGTGTACTGCGTGAGCTTGTCAAGCTGCGATCGTAGCATCGTCGCACGGTTGATCTGTTGCTGAAGACGGATCTCCAACATGGCGTTCTTCACCTCTAAGCGCTCGCTCTTCTGACACACATTCTCATACTTGGCTTGCAGCTCCATGTACGCTCTTTCGACTTCACGGTACTTCTTTTCCATAGGCGACTCCACGTGGGCTACTGATTCCGAAATAGAGATTTCGCTAACTCTAGGCGCAGTGTTACTGTGCACAAGGCCAGCAGACGTCAGAGCCTCGATCCACTGGGCATTAGTAGCCACCATTTTCTCCAGCACAGACTTCATCCCGTTCGTCTCCTTCTCCAGGAACTCCAAGTGGTGGTCAAACACTGTCGGGCTTTGGTTGTTGGTCTGATGGGTGATCTGGTTGCTCAATGGACGGGCCGGCAACGCCGCGCGCATGGAACGAGATGAAGGCGAGCATGCCGCCAATCGTTGGAACGATGCAAACAACGGTGCTTCCTGTTGCAGCTGCTGTTGCTGATGCTGAGAAAGCCTGGCCTTTGTCAGACCGACAGAGGAGCGCACGTCACCTGCCGACTGAAAAGGTTTACGAGTGGACATTCTTCTGGACGCCTGTCGACGCTGGGCCTCGAGGGCACGCGAGGGCGAAGGGCCTAACGAGACCGACAGGTCTTCTCGCTCACGTGACGCCTCGGGGGATTCCGGAGACAAATCAGTGATGGTAAAGCGACCTCGGACCTGCGTCTTGCCCTTGCGCACGGACGAGCTGGAAGCCGACAAGTCTTCGTTGTTGTTATTGTTGTTGTTGTCTTCATCGTCGTCGTCTCGAGTCGCCTCAGGCGCGTCGGGCACGTCGGTGACCACGAACTTCCGCGGCACGCGGAGCTTGCGTCCAGTGATTTTGGTCACCGAGCGGCGACGCACGTCCATGCGCTGCTCAGTGGCCGAGCGCATCAGCGCAGGTTCCGGTGGAGGCAGCGAGCTGGGCGCGGAGACGGTGCTGGAGGTCGTCATGAGAGTTTTAGCTGATGCTACTGCGCCGCTTTGGGCGGGACCGCGCGAATCGAAGGAGGTCTATCTTTTCTATCGCGAGGAGCGGCCGATAGGTTGCAACGAAGGGAAGGTACGCCGCGGACAAGCCACTGCTCCTTGACGCGGAAGTCTCTAGTCTGATACTAAACCTTAGTGAGGCTCATACAAACACTCGCACCAGGGAGAGGAGCCGGAAATTCGGATTTTCGGGTTTAATTTCATAAGGACCCGCGGGCTACGAAAACCTGAACCCGAGGCCCGCAACGATCTATGCACCTCTTACAAACTCCAAGTCATTTTGTTTTGACTTTTTTTAATCCTGTTCGATCAGAAACGGTAACCGTAACTATTACAGAAAAATAGAAAAATGGCCAGCAGACCTATTTTGGTGTTACGGTGGCAATGACGGTATCGCATGGCGACTCGCTCTGGTCCGTTCACCGCGGTATTATTACCGCTAAGGTTTCTACCTAACAAAATACGCGAAATCCAGGCGTCGACCCAACCTCGATCCCTTCACATTCGCTGAAAGTGCCTTACCGGCCCACGCAGCGAGCAGCCACCACCGACTTGCGAATGTACATGCTTCATTTTTCGCATCGCCAACCGGTGGGTTACCAACTGGTAAAATACAACAGGACTGCGTGACATTTTGCTAGCACGCAGCGTGGCTCGGAGGTGCAGCTGGGTCAAACCTGCTGGTGCTCAGCCTGTGATCTCTTGCACTTGCCGCAAAGCACGGCACTTTGAAAGCAGTGCCGTAAATTTCTGCCAGAATCTGTCTTCCTCAACGATGTGAAACTTTAATAAATCCATGCTTTATAAATCTTCAAGTAGCAGACGCAGAATCTGCGAACTCGTACAATCTATCCTGGATAGCGGACGGCAACTTGCCATAGCAACTTGCCATGAAATCTTCATTGATGACGCCAATAAGATTAAGAGAATCACGAGTCTTGATCCCATCGGCCCGATGAGGGCAGAGCTCACAGACTCTGAGTCACAGTGTTTCAACGTCGCAAATGATTTCCCCGTTTTAGTGTGATTGTCATTAAACTGATCTTCGGGTGGTTAAATCGCTAAAAGATAGAGTGCAGTTGATTGGCTTAATTTCCATCATCCAATGGCTGATCCCGTGAAACGACTGGCTGGGAGGTTGGTGTAAAGTGGAGAGCACCTTATCATTTCCAGTTCAAGTTTTCCTCGTAAACCCACTTCTGGACTTGTGTATTACGTGCGTGCGTTTGTATTCTGTATCCAACTGGACTTCTGGCGAGACCTCTCTTTCACAGTGGAGGTCCCAGGGTCTAGCAACTCGCCCCGATGTGGAGGGTGCGTGTCTTCTGCTGTCGCAAGGCGGTTGAGGTCGCGTGCAAACTCTGCACTTTTGTGAGGGATAAGCGAAGCGAACAGTTGAAAAGAGAAGTCTTGGTTGTTGAGCATCTGGACCGCCTGGTGGCCTCGGTTGCTTCGCTGGAAAATTTGCTCCAACTGATCGATGGCACCATATTCCCAATCTTTTTTGCTAGTCATTTAGACGATAATGCTGGAGACTAACCATGGTCGCAAACACACTGATCAAAATCTATATGTATGTCCACCACGAACTTGTAGTGGCGTAGGTAACACAGCGGTAGTACTACTGTAGTACATGTACATGTAGGAATAGGATTGAAAGCAATTTACAGTTCCTTAAAGTGAAGTCATTTTACTGCTGCTTTAGAAGTATAATGGATGCAAAGCACTTCCTGCTGCATTCTTGCTGTAGTACTACTAGTACTACCGTACAATTACTACAGTAGTAATGTGCAATATCTATTCTTACACTTGCAGTATAACTGTAGTAGTAGTAGAAGTCATGGGACCTTGTGCTTCTCGGCGTAGACTGGACGCGGAGGACCGTGCTCAAGAGAAGATCGCGGAGTTTGTGCAGTATGTCATCTCTTCAGATCTTGCCAAGCTGCGAGAGATGATTACAAAGCGGAAGATGAATCCAAACGCGAAGGATGTGAGTAGAGATGAAGGTAAAGGTACTGCAGAACTGTTGATTCGAAGTGTTTGAAACTTGCCCTTGTGATGCAGCGCTTTGGCATGAATGCGATTCACTGGGGTATGAGCTGCTTAACTAGCTGTACAGTACTTGCAGTGATCGTTGTTGACTTTGGGGTCTTTCGTCTGCAGCATCTTACGTGGGAGCGCTTGAATGCATAAAGGAGCTAATCAAAGTAGGAGGATCACCAACAGCTACAGATTCCAACGGACGCAATGCGCTTCATCATGCTTGCCGAAAAGATCATGACGAGATAGTGCGCTACCTAGTTTCCACTGCACATGTGGACATTAACTCTCGCAGTGAAAACCAAGACACGCCATTGCATAAAGCAGGTTTGTCTGTTCTGAAACATCTTGGCTTGAAGCGCTCAGAACACTTTTCCTCATCACTTCTACTTTGGTAGTACGAGGCAAAAGCCTTAAGGTAGTGGAGATGCTTCTAAAACTGGGAGCAGATCCTAATCTTCGGAACGAGGTATTCTTCTCATGAAGTAGTATTTTCTTGATTCACAAAGCGCTAAGCCATTTTCGTGTGATTTTTAGCAAAACAGAACACCCCTGGACGACCTGGAAGCCACCTTGTCAACAGTGTTCGACTCAGCTTCAATGGTTTGTGTAATCCCATTTCACCTTTGCTGTAATCTCATGATGTTGAATGTGTTAAGACTGAAATCAATTTATCAAATCGCGTGAGGTCCGCAAGACGTGAGCAATATGAGCCCTTCAAAGCAGAACCGAGGCCGCTTGAATACGTTGGGCTAGCTCTGCAGCCAATTAGACGCGATAGCCACTCGGAGCGCCGAAGCTTTATGTCTCGACGAAGTGTTACCGAGTGCACAGATCGGACGGCACGAAGAAACTCTATTTCAGAGGAGCCAAGCCAGTGGGCAACGTCAACGGTATCTAAGCAGTACGCGTCCTCACCGAAAGAAGACACACCATTGCGCAAGGACCTTCATTATGCCGGCGAACGTGTTATCATGGCTATACGCGTCAAAGGTGCTTTGTCCGACACCGAGAAGCTAAACCTCATGCGAGCCATGCTCTTAAAGCATGTAACGTCGCCTGATAATTCGCCGTGATGTCTACTCCTGAAGCATTATGGATAGCAATAGCGATGAATAACTCGTCAAGATCGATTTTGCTTTCGTGAAGCCGACAGTCAGGGGAGATTTATTGATTTAAATACTCCCGTCTCGCTTTCCCTTCGAGGTTTGCAACATCTTAGTTGGAAGCCTCGCGACGGTAGCCATCCTGGCCACCACGGCGGAACTCCGGGTTGAAGTCGCCCGATGGGCCGACACCCTTCTCCTTGTCGAAACGGCCACGGCCAAAGCCGCCAGCGGACGGGGCCTGCGGGCGCGTGGGGCGAGCGGCCTGCTTCTTGAGCGTGGCCGGCACGATCTCAGCGGGCAGGTGCAGGTAAGAGCGCAGGTACTCGATACCCTCGTTCGTAAGGTACCAGTAGAACCACTGCCAGTTGAACGTCTCCTTAACGTAGCCGCGGGACTTGAGCGACTGCATGAGCTTGATGACCTGGAGGTTGGGCACATCCACGGCCTCGTGCTTGGGCAGCGAGAAGTCCTTCTTCGCAACCATCACGCCCTCCTTGAAGAGGTACGAGTACACAGCGATACGGTTCGTCTTGGGGACCAACATGTTGACAGTAAGAGTCTAGAAAGCTTGCCGGCGAGTGCGGATCTTCACGGGAAATAAGCGGCGAGGTTTATAGGAAAACCAGAATACGCCGTCATTCTAATACCATGAGCTCCAGCCAACCAACCAATGCGGTTCTCCTGAGCTACACAATATTGTGTTTTATTGTAAAAAGAGATGCCATGAGTAATTACGCTTGACAAATTTTAAGCCAATCGCACCGCGGAAGCCTTGAGTATTGCGGCAAATGTACGTCAGTAGCGGTTGATTTGCCGCAAGCACCGCCGACTCCAATGGCGGAGAACGTGGAGAAGTACTCGGTTCTAATTGACTTGACGGCCGGCACAGTCGGTGGCATCGCTGGTGTCGTCGTGGGACAGCCGTTCGATACGGTGCGTCTGATATTGTAACCTGTCATCAACATCGCTGATTGACGCTGTGTGTGTATCATCGTCCTGCAGGTCAAAGTGCGGCTGCAGTCGTACAGCAAGTACTACAATGGTGCCTTCGACTGCGCTCGTCAGACTGTGCGCTGCATCTACTTTATATTACTTAAGCTGAGGCCGTGAAGACCTGATGGACGGTATTTCTTTTTCTTTCGAGTGTAGTGGAAGCATGAGGGCTTTTCAGGCTTCTTCAAGGGCATGACGTCACCCATGGTCGGTAGTGCGGCGACGAATGCTGTCATGTTTGCAGTCTATGAACGCACGCTGAAGATGATCGACGATAATCCGGAGAACGCGACACTCAAGTCTGTTTTCTATGCTGGAGCTGTCGGAGGCTTCTGGCAGACGATTCCACTGGCCCCTGCAGAGCTCATCAAATGCAGACTTCAGGTGCAGGATGGACGCAGAAGTAGCCAGTACCAAGGACCGATGGACTGCATCCGGCATATTATTAAGGCCCGGGGTACGCCCGGACTTTTCCTAGGCATCACGTGCACAATGTGGCGCGAGGTGCCGTCGTTCGCCGTCTACTTTTGGCTCTACGAATACACCAAGCGCAGGATGATCGACAGCAATATCAACTCGACCACTTCCATGCTGACAGCGGGTGGCGTTGCTGGTGTTGCTTCCTGGGTTGTTTCCTATCCTTTTGATGGTGCGTACATCTGCTTGCTTCTAGGAACTCCAGACTGTTCGTTGGTGGGGAGTAAGGATGGTACGGTATCAGCTAACCATGTGTTGTATACATGTAACGTTAAACAGTGATAAAGACTGCGATCCAGACGCTTCCAGTCAACCACAAACCAGGAGAGCACAAAATTACATACCAAGCTCGTCAACTCTATCGTCTCGGCGGTTGGCGAGTCTTCTTTAGTGGCCTGGGCACTGCTTGTGTGCGAGCATTCCCCAGTAACGCGGTGACTTTCTTCGCTTATGAGAAATCCTCCGAGCTGCTCAAGGACGTGGTTCGAGACTGAGCGTTTTTGCCAATTAGAAACTGCTATAGACTTCAACTAAGTAGGCCGATCACATTGACTCTTATGTGGTGCACATCCTTCATTTCACGTCATCTTCACGTCGGAATCAAAAAATGTTTCATCATCAACCTTGCTATTCGTTGATCTACCATGTTAACCCTCCGGAATGCTCTCTTGCGTCCTCGCCTAGGCGCTGCTGTGCTGCAGCGTCGCTTTGCATCCAAGAGCAACCAAGAGCACCTAGTAGACTGGATGACGGGGCCTCCGAAGATGCTTGACGTGACGTCCTCCAAGTTTGACACGCTGTCGTTGGGTTTCGCCAACGATGATGCCGACTCTGGGGTGTTGCACTTGAAGCTCAACCGCCCCAAGGTTGTGAACGCCATGAACATGCAGATGTGGGTAGATCTAGCGGAGGCCTTCGAGCTCGTGGAGCAAGATCCCAGCGTTAAGGCCGTCGTGGTGTCTGGGGAAGGTCGCGGGTTTACGAGTGGCATGGATCTGGACGTCTTCGCTCAGATGCAGAAGGTGGCGATGGACGAGTCTTGTGAAGGACGCAAGCGAGAACGTCTAATGCGCGTCATCGAGAAGTTGCAGAACGTAATTTCCGCTCCAGAGAAGTGTCGGGTGCCGGTTATTGCGGCGATCCACGGGCCTTGCATTGGTGCAGGCGTGGACTTTATCACGGCTTGTGACTTGTGCTACTCCGATGTGAGCGCCATATTCTCCGTCAAGGAGGTGGACCTGGCTATTATCGCTGATGTGGGCACGTTGCAACGTCTACCCAAGCTTGTGGGTGAGCGCCAAGCCAAGGAACTTGCCTACACAGGTCGTGACTTCGGTGGACTAGAGGCAGAGAAGCTCGGTCTTGTGCTTAAGGCTTTTCCTGACCAAGAGGCACTGATGAGCCATGTTGGAGACGTAGCAAAGGATATCGCCAAGAAGAGTCCGCTCACTATTCGTGGCATCAAGCAAACGATCCACTACCAACGAGACCACTCGACAAAGGACTCATTGGAGCAGATTCGCTACCACAACGCCGCCGTCTTGTACAGTGACGACTTGGTGCAAGCTGTCGGTGCCATCATGAGCAAGACGGAGCCCAAGTTCCGCAATGACTAAGTACGTCGCAAGCGATCTAATGTTGAGCTCGTCGTGCCACCCGCACTTCATCTTTGTCTTTTTTGCATTTCCTCGTGTTTTACGCTTTTCCTCACTAGCTACAGGCACCAACATCTCGCTCTATCACAAGTGGCTCGGTCTGGTCTAGAAGCTTTCTATTCCTTTTTCCGTGCAGCGATAGCAGCCATCAGGTTACCACGGCCAGGGGCTCCTCCTCCTCCTCCTCCTTCTCCTCCACGGCCTCGAATAGCTGACATCAAGTCGCCGCCCCGACCGCCACGACCACCATCATCTCCGCCGCCACTGCGAGACTTAATCGCAGAAAACAAGTCACCGCGCCCTGGACCACCCGGGTTTCCGCGACCACGCCCGCGAATTGATGACAGGAAGTCGGTAGGGGGTCCTGGAGGACCATCACCGTCGCCACCGCGGCCACGACCACTAATCGCTGCAAACAGGTCATTTCGCCCACCTCCGCGACCACTACGCCCCCTACCTCTGGCCGCCATCATTGGGTGCGGTGCCCGGGCTGGACCAGCTTCCTCCGCCACTTCACTTTCTGCTGGTGCAGCAGCACTTTTGTTCTTCTCCTTCGCTTCCTTCATGATTTCGGTTCTTGTCTTCACGCGACGGTTAGCAGGTGGACCCTTGTCCTTCAGCGAGTCCAATGTGCTCTGACTCTTTTCGCCCAGATCCTTCAAAAGACCGCGAATAACAGGGATAGCTGACCGCAGACGCTTATCACTTGCCTTGACCTCATCCATACGCTCGATCATGCCGTCAAAGCAGTCAATCACGGCATCGCAGTACAGCAGAATCAGATTACACTCGATAGACGAGCGCGTATCCTTCGCATCCAGCGACGCGTCCCGCTTACCGGAAAGATTCATACCCGATCGCTCGGCGAACTTCAAGCTTGCCAGACGAATCTCGTTCACCACCTCACCAAACTCTGCCAGCTCCACCTTAATTGTCGCAGCCGTCTCCGTTCGCTCAAGTCGGCGCTTGAGTCTTGCCTGGAACCAGAGCAACTGTCGGTTCTCGATCTGATCCAGCGATGTATCGATCAACTCGCATGCACCGTTGGCCTCAGCAACAAGACGCACGTTGCGGTAGTGCTTCTTCAAGGCGTCAGCACGAGAGTTCGCAAGCTTCGCTCGGGCCAGTTCCTGAGCTTCGGCCAGAGCTCGTGCACCAGCATCATCAGGGTTACCCTTCTCGACGGTTGATTCCATGTACACATCTCCATCGGGATATCCGAGATCCTGATCGTACGCAGGAGTTTGGTTAGCCTTGATAGGACATTGCTTGCCAATCATCGGGCAACCGATGTCTGGGTCGTCGCGTGTGGCGTACGGGTGATTATCCTCTGGTCCGTATTGCTTCACGTGCTTGTTGTAAGAGTTGACAACGGTCTTGAACGTCTCCTTAAGCGTCTTAAACCACTCATACTTCTTCTTCGTCATTTCTTCTCCCTGTTGAGCTTTCCATGTCTCCGCAATATCGCGCAAGTGCATGTGCAGCGCACGACGCTCTGTCACCGAGAGACCAGTAACACGCAAGTTATCCAGCAACGACGGGTGATTCTTCGCAATATCCGCGGGGTTCATACGAATCAGCTCCAGGACGTTCGTGCGTTTATACTTTCGAGCAATATCACGCGGAAGTGTCTTGCCCGTCGGTGACTGCACAGTCTGGAGATCAGCTTCCGACATCTTCTTCACGTCAACCGGCATCATCCGACGGATGGCCTTCAGCGCCTTAACGTTCTCTTCGTAGTTCTCCTCTTCCCATTCACGCTCCTTCCGTGCTTCTTCAGCAGCGTACTCATCAGTCAGCATAAGAGCAGTGTTGTACTTCTCCATATCCTGTTCAAGACGGTAGTACTCTTCACGCAGCTGCTTCTGGATCGTGGCGTCCGGATGCGTCACATCAGCTGAACCAATTTCCTGCATACGCTTAGAAATCTCTTGCACCTTCGCCATAGCCTCTTCATACGGAATATCTGCGGCCACGGCAATACCAGCTTGCTGCAACTGCTTCTCCAGCTTCAATAGACGACGTAGCAGTTTAACTTGGTCGCTAGAGATGTCCAAGTTGGCCAACATATCTTGCGCCTTCGGCTCTTCTCTCTGTCGGACGGAGCGGCTACGCTTCAGCTTCTCCACTTCTGCCTGCAGCGCACGGATCTTCTCGTCATACGAGTTAATACCATCAAAGAACGCATGAATACCCATCTCATCGACGCCGTCTTCTTGCATTTTTTTCTTCACGTCGTCGTTCGACTCGCCGTCCTGAATCATCTTGCGGTACACAGCGTAGATCGATGGTCCCTGTACATCCGACTCCTGAATACGACGGTTTGCTTCAATCAGCTTCTGGGCCTCTTCCTGGGCTCGCTTAGCTTCAGCGAGCTGCATCTCTGCTTCCTCCTTCGCTCGAGCTGCTTCTGCCATTGCCTTCTCCACAGCAGCTTTACCCTCGCGCTGCTCTTCGCGAGCTGCAGCCATAGCTGCTTCTGCCTTCTGTCGAGATTGCTCCAGCAGCATGTGTGCTTCTTCCTGGGCACGAGCAGCGTGATGCGTGGCTTCATCGGCTGCCATCTGAGCTTCGGCCTTAATCTTAACCATTTCATCTCGCTCATTCATCATGCCGTTGCTGTTCAGGTCATCGCCCAGGCGTCCACGCTCTTGGTCCTCCTCATACGCTTTCTGTTTATTCACGTACTCCAGTGACAAAGTCAGTACAGCTCCTGCCGACCGGCTACCGAGAGCCAGAGGGTACTTCTTCGTTGTCTTCTGCATGTTCGGCAACGACCTCAGAGGAATCGTAAGCGTCGTAATCAACTCAGTCGCACGGAACAAGTGCTCGTCGAAGATACGGATCTCCACCACCATGTCGTCACTGGGGGCCTCGAACGAAGCCGAGTTATCTTGTTTCCACACAGGAGACCGTTGGTTCTTAACCACTGAAGTCTTGAAGGTCTCGGCGCCCACTGTAACTTCGCAAATCGCGTTAACGGAGCTGCCCGATTTGGTCAGATTAGTAGCTGACAGAACACCAACGTGAATCACGGGCGTGGAGAATGCCTCATAGTTGAACTGCGACAGACGGCCACCAGCATTCCGATCCAAGAAGGTTCCATCCATCGAAAGACTCTCCGTCCGCTGTGTTCGCAATGCTTTGGCTTCTCGTAGTGACTCTCCAAGGTTCTGTGTGCGGTTGACAGTCTTGGAGGCATCAATAGCCAGCTTAACTGCATCCATCCAGCCCTTCTTGTCCGATTCCGACGTACAGGCCATGACCATACGACGATCATCCACACGAAGTTCCAGCAAATACTCTGCAGTCACGTTAGGAGAGCGACACACCACGTCACCAGTCCCAGATAGCGAACGCACAGTACAGCGATGATTCAGGAAGCTCATTTCGCCACGCGATGTCGTAGAGCTCGGACTCTTGAAATATTCCACCTTCGACACACTAAGCACAAAGTATCGAGACTTCCAGTTGCGCATCACACGGCCCTGCTTGTACATGCGTCCCTTCTTGATAGTCGCGGCTTGGTTATTCAGAATCAACTGCGCAATCGACTGGTTATCGTCGCCTTCATTGCCGTCGTCCTTCACAAGGCGCGGGTTATTCATCAGTTTCTGCTTCACGTGGGACGTCGACTCACGAAGTCGGAAAGACTCGGAGTGTCGTGAGTTTACACGCTGCACATCGGCCAGTTTTTCCTTTGGCACAAACTGCAGAGTCTTGGGAGCTGTCGCGTTACGAAGTACGTTCATGACTTCAAGATACGGCATACACAGCACATCCGTCTCGTTCACCTTGTACACGATATCGCCGACAGAAATCATACCGCTTGTCTTCGCTTGACCCTTCAGTGCACGTACCACGGCACCGTCAATACCGTATCGTACGGCTTCTTCCAGGTTCAATCCCATAGGTCCATTGTCGAACACCACAGCGTACGTGGTGAGCTCCTTGTCCAGATCGTCATCTTTATTCTGCTGGAACTTCTCGCGCACAACTTGTTGACGTCGGGCTTCGTCGATCTCGAAAGAAATAGCCAGAGGTCGAGGCATCTTACGAATCAGATCAATAGCGTCGGAGAAGCCCATGCCGTCTACGTTCTGTCCTCCAATAGCGACGATAAGATCACCAGCCTGTACCTTGTTCTCCAGTAAAGGATTGTTAATGTTATCGATAGCAAGACCGTGGTCGATCACGCCGTCCGTGGGCGGCATAAGCTTCACGCCGAGCTTCTCCTTAGCCGGCAGCTCGATGACTACAACCTCGGGGCCGGAGTCGCCGTCCTCGTCCGTTGCTGACGTCGACTCGGCCGCTGCCTCCTCTTGCTGCTCCTCCTCCGGCCGCTCCGAGCCACAGGCCACACACGCCTCCTGGCCGTCCTCATTGGCTGCGAACTCGCACTCTGTACAGGTCCAGGCCATGGTGCCGCACTTGGGTTAAACGTTGAGGGTTCACCGCCTAGATAGCAATGCAAGGTGAAGGTTATTAGATGCCTGGTGAATGAAAACTTTAGGGTTACGATCTCCAAGCCAGCTGGTTGACATGGATATCACTTAAGAGAGATCGCCACTACAAGGAGAGGGGGCGTACTTAATGAGACAGGTTATACGCGCTACAGCGCTGGGGGTCGCTAGCTGCGCGACAAGAGTGAGCACACGCACGTGTCGCCTGTTGCTCCTCGCACGAACTCGCTTTACGAGGACTGCGCGTCCTCGGTGCTTCTCTGGTCTGCGTCGATCGCCGCACGCCGCGTTTTCCCTTTGGCGATTGACGATGGAATGCGACCATCACTCCTTCACCCCCTCTAAAATCACGGGGCTAGGGGTCTTTCAATAGTAAAACACCGATGTTGTTTGTGCCAAGATCCCGCTCTTGGCGATCCAGAAGTGGTTGGTGAACCTGGCTTGGCGAGTGCAAGCTTGGGAGACTCACCTAATTGATGCACGGGTCAAAGGGCAGGAATCATGGCTATCGACCGCGCTGATCGCCCATTATGGCCTTATTGGCGAGGCAGAGCGATCGACGTCCGTAGGTAATGGACATCTTCCGCTCTCTCTGAGCCGATCGGGTGGTGCTGTACCCGCCCTGCCGCGTTTTTGGTCCGGCCTAGCGAACGGCGCTGTCGCAACGATTCAACGAATCGGAGGATTGAAGTGGAGACCAGCGACGCTGTCTACTCTGTGGTCCACGCCTGTGGAATCCACTGCTTGTACTGCCTTGTGTCATTGTTTTAAGTAAAGACAATGAGAGACTCTTTACTATTGACGCTAAGCACGACGCAAGAAGCTTTTTGAAAGTTTGTGCTGAGGTGACGAGTAGCGTATTCCTTCTTTTTCAAGACTCGGCGAGCTTCGAGTCGACCTAATAAGCGATTTACATACGATGCAATGCATGAAAAAACTGAATGTTGACGGCCGGGCCGAATCGTTGCTGAAAGGATTACATTATTAAGAACTCGGTGGTGCTTGTTTTGGTTTAAGCACCAGCGAGTGTGCAACAAATGAACCACTTTCGAGCAAACGCTCCACCATACATTTATGACATGTAATGATAGCTCGGAGCCAGAAGCTGTTGCTGCTATCACAGCTTGTGATTTAAGTTGTGATATACAGCTCCAAAGCAAGTTGGTTGAAGTGCTGAGTTAGACTTCAACCAACTTGCTTTGAAAATGTGCACCACAACCGTTTACCTTCTCAGTAGCATATCCTTCCGAAACCCATCATATCGCATCCCGCGTCCTCCATTGCTTTTTGGCGCGCTGACCTGCCGCCCCCTCTCGATCTCCGCTCGCCATGGCCTCTAACGATGTGGACTTCCGGGCGCTGTACCAGAGCTCACTAAAGCTGACGACGTCGCTCGGTGAGCTGGGGATCCCTCGTCTAGAGAAGCGTTTAGAGCAACTAGATGATGCGTCGCGTGCACTCAACGCGCAGGTCCCCAGTACTAGTGGAAGCCGCAAGCGTCCAGCAGCCGCAGGGGCTGACAAGGCCAACTTCCTGCTTGCATCTAAGGGTATCGACGCTGAGAAGCTCAGCAAGGAGCTAAAGCAGTTCGAGATCGCGCCTGAATTTGAGCCCGAGACGCCCCTGGGCGAGACGGATCTAGAGGGATATCTCGCTCACCACCACGAAATGATCGTTCTAACCGCCATCGAGGACGTTAACCGTCGCACAGTGGAAGCTACACATGACCGCATGAACCGTGCTATGATCGACGACTTCGAGGACGCCAGGCAGCGCCTTTTAGAGGACCTGGGAGGTGCCAAACAGCTCGGTATCAGCAACTACCCTCGCATATTGGATTCGGACGAAGCTACTGGCAGTATCTTCTCCTCTGCAGCTCGTGACAAGCGTCAAGCACTCGAACCTGCGTCTGGTCTGGGCCTCAGCGGCGCGTCCTTTGCCGGTCAGCCGCGTTTCCAGGCCACAGGCTTCGGAACGCCGTCGCTGCATATGTCACAGTTGCAGATGGAGAACGCTATGACGGAGGAGATGAAACAGTACTATTCCGTCATCAAAGAGCTTAACAGCAGCCGCGTGCCAAACACGCGCAGTCAGTTCGAACTCGCCCGTCACTTTCAACGAATTTGTTCGTCCAACGTGTCGATATCAGTGACTGGATCCAAGTGGGAGGCCGTACTTAAATGCTGGCAACTCGTCAATGACTTACTGGCAGGTGGTGATGCTACCAAGCCCAACGCGCCGAAGCTAGCAGAGCGTGAATACCAGACTGTCCGACAAGGAAGTGACGGAGCGCAACGTAAGCTACTCCAGCATCGCCTTGCATTCGGTGCCCGCGTCTTCCTGGAGAACCAATTCCGTGTCTTCGTACAGGAAACTGTGCAGAAGAACAGCCTCGCTATTGGTGGTATTCCGGATCTAGTGTCCACTATTCGGGCGTTCGTCAAGCATCTGCACAGCTCGCGTTATGCTGCCAATGGTAGTGGCGGTAGTACTGATGTAGACAATATCTGGGCTGTCATCTACTACTGTCTCCGCTGCGGCGGTGACCAGGAAGCGGCTAATCTCGTGGCCAAACTGTCCAGCTCGGGTGACGACTCCACCATTGATGGCGATGTGCTCTGTGCGTTGAAATACCGTGCACACCAGAAGAGCTTGTACGCTGACCGCAGCGCCAACCCATTGAACGCCTTTTCTAAGCAATTTCCTGCCGAGTTTGAGCGCTTGGTGGACCGCTATCACCGTTTGGTGAGCTCCTCGATCGACGCGGTGTCTGTGGTGAACCCATTTGAACGCTGTGTAGTGAACCTGTTATGCTTCGGCAACGTCAACGCCAATGAGCAGCGTATTACGACTACAGTGGAGGACTATCTGTGGCAACGTCTGTGCTTTATCCAGCGTGTTGCAGCCACCAGCTCTGCTCCGGACAGTACAATCACAAAGCTATCGCAGAGTATGCAGAAGTTTGGACCAACGCATTTCGAAGGCGGCGTGCAGCCTGGTGGTGGCAACTTCTCTGCGTTCCTGTACTTCGAGATTCTACTCATCACGCAGGAGTTCGAGAAAGCTGTTAAATATTTGGCCTCCAAGGGTTATCTGCTGGAAGCAGTGCACTTCGCGATCACGCTCAAGCACTTCGGGCTACTGGAGTGCACGTCGTTCTCAATGGGAGAGGAAGACGAAACGACAGTCGATTTGGTGCGTCTGGTTCGCCAGTACATTCACGGTTTCCAGCGTGCTAATGCAGCGGAGGCAGCAGACTATGTGGCCTGCATTTCGGACTTGACAGCGAAGAAGGAGTTGCTCGCAGAGCTGCTACTGGACACACGCAAGTTTGATATGCTTGCTGGATTTACGAACAACACAGACGGCTCACGTACGCGTGGCCTGTACGACCACTTGCTCAAGGATGAGCCTGAAGATGAGGTCAAGGAGCTCATTCTCTCGGCTGCTCGCAAGGCTGAGGCTCGTGGTCGTCCGCATGATGCGTTCGCTCTATTGAAGAGCGCAGGCGACATTGAAGGCGTTATTTTGCTGCTGAACTCGCAGCTCAGCTCGACGTTGTCAGCCACACGACCAGAGCGTGAGGAATGGTTCCGTGAGGCCAAGGAGTTTGCCGAGAAGTGGATGCGCTTCCCTTGGGTCCAGACGATTGCCAACCGACATGCGCGTACAGCTGCGATTGCCTTCCAGACACTCCTGAACATCAGTATCTTCCTGGAGATTTTCGAGAAGCAGCAGTACGAAGACGCCATCGGGTTTGTGGATGAATTGGAGGTGGTGCCGACACAGAACTCGAGCAACTTGTCGCTGTGTGTTGATCGCTTCCTGTCTTTCGACGAGAGTGTCCGACAGAACTTCCACATTCTGCTGCTCGGATATATGGAGTGCCTTGTGCGTGACGCAGACCGCGTCAAGACTCAGGTCTCTGGCGAAATTCGTCGTGCCGGCATCGCTGCTCTGCGCGAAAAGGCCGAACTCCTCGTCACATTCGCAGGCATGATCAAGTTCCGACTTCCTTCAGGTACCAACGAGCGACTGAACCGCATGGAGGCCATGATCTATTAGAATGCCCCCGCTGGGATACCGTTCAAGAAGGAGATCGCAAAGAACAATTAAGGCTGTCGACAACGAATGTTACATGAAGTTTCTCTTGACTACATCCACATTCAGCTGGTCCTCCTACTTGCTACTTAAGTACTACTAACGGTCAAATAAATCTTGCATGCTGCTTGTCTTGATGCTCATCAGAATCATCACTTCTGTACCTGCACCGGTGGGCAGGGAATAAATGGCTTGGTTAAATTACCGCAGCGGCGCCTGGCGCTGGGAGAACAGTCTCGTGGCGTTCGACGAGAACTGGAACTTGCTTGGTGACGTTCTCGAGAAGAATCTGGTCGACAGGCTGTCACCACGGTTGGTAACAAACGCAAAAGATGCGCGGGCGTCCAAAGACGACGATGGAGCTGCGCCTGCATTGGAATAATCTATGCTTCTCGCACTGACGCCACCTAGTCTGGGCTTCCTCAACACAAGCGCCTTCTCGGCACTGCTCTCTCCTGCTCGACCTCTCTTTGTGGCCGCCTTTCGCGGCGTCCGGATACGCGAGGGTCGCGTCAGTTGGCTCACATCTGCCGTCGACGGCGCAGGCAACGAGCTAGTGAAGGCTGTGGCTACCGTCGACGATAGTGAGAAATAATTAGTGGGAACTCCTGCTACCTGCTGTGCTGTATGGGTTGACGCATTTGCTACACTTGATGATGCGTACTGTCGCGGGGCATTAGGAACGGGGTGGCCCGCTTGCCGGGCGAGGTCGAACTCTTCGCGTATGAGCTCCTCACTGCTACCAAACTCTTGGAAGAAGAGTCTCTCCGTATTGAGCTGCGAGGCCTGGGCGATCCGTTGGCGCACCTTTGTTCGCGGAGTCTTGGCCTGTGTCGGCGCCTCGTCCGCCATTTCCAGCGCGCGCTTGGTGCGACGTCCGCTGCCGCCTGGTCCGAACGTCTTGCGGATACACGCTCGCGCCTTTTCCAGACGCGCGTTGCCCGCCGAGTCCATCGGAGACATCATGAAGAGCCCGCCGTCCTGCATCGCTGGTTGAGAGGATAAGAGAGATGAGGAAGTGACAGTGACGTCGAGAATGGACAAATGGGCAAAGATGCCGCGAAAAGCGACCCATTTTTCAAATTCAAATGTTCAAATGAGATCGTTGTTTTTGTGAGGTGCACATCAATAAAGCGTGGACCACATAAAGGCAAGTTGAAGTGGAATATGTTTTGTGAGACCCTGCGTTGAGTCTTTCTCCTTCTTCTCTACAGTTGAAATATCTGCTGGAGCAGCGCACGAGACGGCTGGGAGACTTGCAGCGATGAAGGTGGAAACGACGATCTCGGATCTGCTGATGGAGTGCGAGGAACAGGGTGTCCAATTGCCGGAGGTATTCCGAAACATTGAAGGACTTTCAAGTTGGCTTGTTGACCATGTTTCTTACAAATGTGTACTGCCTGTAGAGCCCCTGGCAGGCGCTGCGTGAGGTGATCACGGCGTTACGAAACACTAAACACGACGCATTAGGCTATCTACAGACCGCAAAGGCTTTTGACCAGCTCAAGACCAAGTTTTCCAAAGATACTGAAGCGATGGAGACGGAGACGGCGGCAGCGTCACCACGTGTGGTACGCCGCCAGAAGCGCAAGCTCATGGATGACATGCCCAAACGCAAGCGCCGAAACATGATTCTTGACAGTGATAGTGACAGCGACGATACCTCTGCCTTAGTCGCCGACATCATGAGCCCTGTGGCGAGCAGTAAGAAGAAGACCAAGTACCCCAAAAAGAGTCGTATTCAAGAGCAGGTGGAGGCCACACCTGCCGCGAAAGATCAGAACCAGTCACTTGTGGATCAATTGGTGCATTTGGGCGAGTATGAGGTGACCCACGGGTACACCCAACGTGGACTTGCACGTTTCCGAGCTGCGAGGGAGATCCGCAACAGCTACGTTGTCATTACTTCGGGGGCACAAGCGAAGAAACTTGACCACGTGGGAGCAGCGGCGGCTACGAAAATTGACCAACTTCTGAACGAAGGGCTTGCAGCCGCTCTTAGTGAGTACGATGGGGACGACGAGGCACTACCGGTGACAAAGTGAGCCCTTTGAGTTTTGAGCTACCATTTCCTAGTACTACATGTATTATCCTTCGAAGTAGGTAGGTTAGCGATACCAATGACATTTTTTGCGTCGTGAAATTTACGACAGTTGAGTGACGCGAGAAATTTGGCCTTGTCCCAGTTTTGCGTGGTCATTTGCTCCAACTGACGGCCAAAAATCAAGTCTGTAGTACAGCCTGGAAGAAGATGAATCTCCGCCAAGCACAGCGCTCTCTCGCTGAGCTTGTTTCGAAGTGTGAAGCTGCACATATTCAGCTTCCAGAGGTTTGCTAAACGCATGACTTATTCATGGATTCTTTTCCGACCTAGCTAAACCTTAGCTGCTTTTTTTCTCGTTAAACGAAGGACCCATTGGAAGCGCGTGCTGAGGCGGTGGAAGCTATCATCCATTCGTTAACGGATGGAAAGGTAATATCCCTTTTAGATGACTTTAAGGACGTGAACATTTCCTCATCATGATCTTGCAAGGTCAATTTGGCCGATGCGCTAGATGAACTCCAGCAAAAATATGGTCTTGAGCTTGCGTGGAAGCAGCACTTGGAGAATGAAGAAGCCAAGCGTCAGCGTCGCCGCCAATCTCGCCAGAAGAAAACTGTTGACCGCACTAAGGACCCTCGACGCTCGAGCCTCGCCATAGTCCCACAAGTTCTGTCGCTGAATGACCGACTGGATATAGTAGTCAGTAGTGACGGTGACGAGCAAAGTGGAGAAGGCGAGCAGTCAATTGTCACCAAGGAAGGCGTGATGACCCCTTCCAAGCGTCCAAGTACCGGTCAAGAGCAACAGAATGCCCCCATGAAAGTGGCCAAAAAGGTGAAGAGCGCACGCGCGTTGATTATTAATCCTCAGACTGTTAGCGAATCGGAGGAAAAACAACCTCCGCCTGAGAAGATACCCGCAGCAGGTCAAGGGAATATCCTTGCTGATGACGGAAGTCGTGATCGTGGTGTTGGCGAAATGCTTGCTCTGGAAGACTTGGACGAGTTGGAGGAAGAGGGCAGTGCTATGAGTAGTGACGAAGAATTCGTCATGTAACTCTTTATTTGTCAGGGATGTAGCCATCTTCAAATTCTCCAGATTCAAACGATGAAGAGGTTGATTGAGCAACCAGTTGACGTCGAAAAGTTGCATGAACCTTGAGCTAGTCGTATCCAGGAACAAGTGCAACGCAGGATTAGTATTAAGGTTATGAATGCACTTTTGAGCTGAGCACCAGTTGTTTTTTTTAATTGACTTACCAATGCCGGGAGTTCTCCAGATTCAATCGAGATGCGTAGACTGCTCTCTTCCTCGCTTTCTATCGCATATGAGACTGCGTTTTTACACTTGGTGTATGCTCTTCTGGATTCGCCAAATACTTCCCCGTCGCTTAAAGCCAAACCTTCTTCTCGCGATATCTCACCTTCTGATAGCTCTGCGCTGCAAATTGAGTCCGGAACACTACTTCCAGAAACAGACAAGCGCCTTCGACGTCGAAACGGACGTCGACGGGAGGATCGAGTTGTAGTGAGAAGATGGCGATCAATCTCGCGAGATATCCCATACGAGCGATAATAATCCGAGGAGGAGCTGAAGTCACTGCTACTCACCGACAAACTATTCACTAGCTCGAGACTGCTTTCGAAGCTTACAGAGTCATCCAAATCCAGCATCTTTTGAGTGAGAGCAACAGGTTTTGACGTCGGTGAGGACTCCACATCTTGATTTTGAGTCTCTTGAGCTTGCTCTTCAATACTATTCGATACACTTTCATGGCTCTCTTCAGAGGAAAAGACACTCTCCGTGTTAATATGGACGTCAAAACTTTGCTCGTTTGGAGCAGAAACATTTGGTTCTGGGTTAGTTTTTTCTGCCTTGTCTGTGCGTGAAGGGTCTTGCTGGTCGTGGAGACTGCTTTGACCCAATCGCCTTTGTTGACGAGGTTGTTGTAAGATTTCGATCGAGGTAGCAGGATGAAATAATTCGCGCGAATCGGAGTCACGACTTGATCCAGCGAGCGAATTCAATATAGCTCCACCGAGGTGCGTTTGTGGAAGGACGGAGTTCGAATCTTGCATGTTTTCATGGCTCTCTTCAGGGAAATCAATCGGCTTTTCTTGTTCAGGGGTGCTTTGAGGTTCCTCTTGCTTAATCTCATCGAAAGTCTGTACAGCCTTTTCAGAGAGTTTTGTTGGAGATGCATTGAGCTCGTTCGTATCTGTCGCCTCATCTTTCCATCTCACAGGCGGTTCTTCTGGCACTTCTGGGGTATCCTCGATATGTACGTCCTCAGCAGGGGCCAACGACACACGACGAAGAGCTTGTCGATCTTTCCAAATCTGTTGCACTAAACCACTAACTTGCTCTTCCGTAAGGACATCAACCCAGTTCTTGAAGCCCTGAGAGCTCGAGTCTTCCGCAGCAGACTCTAATTCAGTCCCACCTCGCGCCATTTGCTCATTGTAGTAAGCTTCAGCTCTTTTCAAACCGGTAGTATCGTCTGTAGACTCATGAGTTAAGGCTGCGATTCTTCGTAGTCGCTCTCTGATCAACTCTTGAGTGATGTCGTTCACCATTTTATCATCAACTGCTTCCTTCCCAACAAGCGATTCCAAGCTCCTACGTACGACATTTTCGTTGACTTCGACGTTGGCGGCGCTGCGAGTGTCTGCCAGTATTCTACTGACTAAAACGTCCGGAAGTTCTTGAAAAATTCGGTCCTCCATGGCTGCTTCTTTCGGCTCATCTTTGACTTCGTAGGCTCGAATATCTTCTTCTCTTACTGACGGCGGAGGTGCACGTGCAGATTGTCTTGTTCTGGGAGAAATAGTTGGCTGCTCATAGATTGGCAAGGACATCGATGGAGCGGATGGAGGTGGAACCTGCTCCCGCCGTGTAGGAGCTCTACGTCGTTGCGCTTTTCGCTGTTGCTGCTGGTCATAGGCAGCGGTGACAAAAGCCACAAACTCCTTATAATTGATCACTTCCTTCATCGGCAGATGCGAAGTTCGGCGACTTCGTGGACCTTTCGCATCGGAGGAATGAATATGGCGAAAGAACGATATGATTTTAGTCGTCGGAACGGAAATCTGCAAGCGATGCAGAGCCATACACGTTTCAATGCGATTCACGTGGCCATCTTTGTCGGTATCCAAGTCACTAAAAAGTCTTCGGAGAACATCCGAGTTCAAACGCATGTCTCCTTGGTTTCCCATACCTCCAGAAAGTATCGGTTGAGCTCCAAAGGATGCGACCGACGGCATAGTGCGGAAATCTGACAGCACTTGCCTCCCAATGGACGACGACGGACGCTCGTCTGTTGCTGCCTTTATTCGACGAGGACTTTCACCTTCGATTGCGAATATATCGTCGTCCCCACTGTCTTGCGGAATGTTAGCAGTCGGAATGCTTGAACTTTTGCGGGGGCTTTCTAGTTTCACCTCCGCTAGCTTAATTGATGGTGCATTGCTAATTGTGTCGAGACCATCAATGGGTCCTTGGGCCTTGCTATCTTCTACGGCTTCTTCAGGTACAGGCGGTTCATCCAGTGTCTCGTGCTCCTCTTTGTTCTTTGCAGTGACCACAGGAGGATCTTTAGTATTAAGCTCCGTTTCAACTGCTGCGTTTGGCTTTGCGTTCTCTTTGTCCTCAACAACGCCATGTAGTGGACTCGTTGCAACATGTTTTAACACCCGCCGTACTTCCCCACCAGCCTCGGTAGTAATTCTAGGCTTCTCCCAAACTTTTCTCTCCTGCTGATTGCCAGTAGCTTTACCCTTGACCCCATTGCTCACTGCGTGCCGAGCTGGAGCAGTTCTCCTAGTTTCCGTCCTTCCCACTGAGCTTTCCCGCGGTTTATAGGACGAAGGCTGAGCAGGTGTCAACTCTCTTCTCTTTTGGTTCCAAGACCGCTTTCCCGGTGGATACTGCTGCAACTCTCGGTCGACGCGTGCTATACGTCTAGACACCTCCCACTCCACACGGCGTTTGTATCGTCGACCGACCCGTAAGCTCGATTGCCCCTCGATAGCTATGAGCATCTGGTCCGCTTCTCCTACTGCCCACTGTTCAGCTGCTGCTTTCCGTCTCCTGGGACCAGCGGCGTTCGTCATCACCAGCGCATTAGTTGTCCAGAGCAGCGGCAAACTGCTTCGCAAGCGCGCCTGGAGCTCGCGATTGCGGGCATTCACGTCGCTCAGCAGCGCGTACCCAACATCGAGGCTCTCCATTTTACCGAGTTGAGATCGCTTCACTCACTTCAATGTGCGACGTTTGGCGCTCAGGTATACCGGTAATACCGATGCGGTGTCGTGACGACACTGTCGTCATTGACAGCTTGCAATGCATTTCTGTGCGCACCGATCCCAAATCCATCCCATTTTTACCAGTGCTCAAAATGTGACAACATACAAGAACACGATTGGTGCCACACATTTTGCTCCTAGCGAGCTGCCCTCTTCCTCGTCGCACACCGATAATCATCGGTAGGTCTTCGTTGATTACCGGTTTCATTAACACGCGTTGATTGGCTATTGTGCTTATGTGACATACATAGACGTCCTGTCTGTCCTCATCCAGTTTTACCGAGGGTGACCTCTTCGCCGTCAGTTGCGAACGTCGCAGCAGCACAGCACTTCGATCAGCACCATGTTGAGGACGACGCGCGCGCGCCGCCTGCCCGCCGTACGTGCGCTCTGTGTCCGCAAGAGCAGCAGCAGCAGTAGTACTGCTAGCAGTAAAATCGACCGCCTACCTCGCTTATCCGATCTGGTGCTCATTCGCCACGGTGAGAGCGAGGGCAATGTGGCTCGCCAGCGGTCCCTGGCCGGGGACCACAGTCTCTTCGCTGGTGAATTCAAGCACCGTCACAGCTCCAATTGGCGGCTCACGGATCGAGGTCGACGGCAGGCCGCAGCCGCTGGAGACTGGCTCAAGCGCAACAACTTGGCACACTTCGACCGTTACCTCGTATCTGAGTATCTACGCGCAATGGAGACGGCAGGCCGCATGGGACTGCCCGGTGCGCGTTGGTACGCCGAGATGCTCATTCGTGAGCGCGACTGGGGCGCCATGGACCTCATGAGCGAGCAGGAGCGCTTCATCAAGATGCAGGATGAGCTCAAGCGGCGAGAGCTCAACCGCTTTTACTACGCACCACCTGGAGGCGAATCATTGGCCGCTGTCGCGCAACGTGCCGACCGCTTGCTCGGTATTCTGAACCACGAATGTCATGGGAAAAGAGCTATTGTTGTGGCTCATGGTGAAGTGATCTGGGCGATGCGCACAAGACTCGAGAGGATGTCACAAGATACGTTTATTGAGTTGCAGGAGTCAGGCCGCATGGTGGATCAGATCCACAATGGCCACATATTGCATTACACCAGGAAAGACCCGCTGACCGGGAAAATGGCGCCGTACTTCACGCATGTGCGCTCGGTGTGTCCCTGGAACGAGAAACTCAGTCCCAAAGGATGGATGAAGATCGACCGACCAGTATACGACAACGAGTTGCTACTAGCTACAGCGGAGCGTGTTCCCCGTATGATTATTTCAGAAGAGTATCTTGAGAAGACGTATAATGGAGCAAAGACGTTGTCGGAGGGAGAGGTGACCCCCGACGTGCTCTCGCATTCTACGAGCTTGAACCAAGCTTCAGAATCGACCGAGGAACCCGTTGCCACGAACGAATCGCCAACGAAGGAAGAGCATCATACGCCGCTTTTGATTCCCGGAAAACCCATGTTGAACCTGAAAAAGGTGGTTGTGGTAAAGAAGATGTCTCGATTCCAGCACGAAGCAGAGCTGTACGGCAATACCGGGTAAGTGTCCGCACCTGACTGTGCTTTTCATGTTCGCTGAATGTGCTGATTTGGGTTGCTATCCGAAATCCAGTGAAGCTTTGAGGAAGCAGATGTCCATGCGAGGATTTGTTCATGACCGCTTGAAGGCGAGTCATGAACATCACATCGAGGCTGTGGACGAGATTACCAGCAGGTACATCGAGAGTACCGCATGGTTTATTGATATCACCTTTCTAACGTTTGAGTGGATTATTTTCTACTATAGTTTTAAGGAACGTGATATCGAAGTGAAGGTCGTCTCTGCCAACCAACTAACACATGAAGCTGTGGAGGGCACGGACATGATTTTTTCTGCTGGTGGTGATGGGACTTTTCTGAAGACCGCAAGTTTCGTAAACACGCCAATCCCTGTAGCAGGCTTGAACACAGATCCAAAACGAAGTGAAGGAAATCTGTGCTGCTACAAGGTGGACAACGTTACGCACCGGTTTAGTACTGCGTTGGATCGTTTACTTGAAGGCGACTATAAGTGGCGACTACGCCAGCGTATCCGTGTCGGTATGGTGAATCAAGATGGCTACTGGTATGAGCTGCCTCGCTACGCTTTGAACGAAGTGTTCATTGCAGAGAGTGACGCCTCTCGACCGTCACACTACAACATCGGAATCGACCAGCACCAGCGTGAATCCCATCGTAGCAGTGGCATTCTCATGTGCACAGGCACAGGCTCGAGTGCATGGTACTCCAGTGCGGTACGTTGGAGCTGAAACCTTGCAGCAGTCCGCGATTAATGACTGATAATTGTCTTGTTCCAGTGCCAAATCTATCGAGAACAGGTTGCAACTGTTCTTAGTGCTATGGATCACACACACACAAACGAGACAGTGACGGAGCTAACAGAATCGTAAGTACAGGTATTCTTCCTATCCAGTCAAAGGTGGGGGAACTAACACCGTGGCGTTTGCTGTGCTTCCTTGCGTAGTATTAACAAGCAGAACGTTTTCCCAGAAGATTCGCGAGACATGGGATATGTTGTCCGCGAGCCGATTATTAATGCTACGTTCGGCGATATCAGGTTTCGACGGTGAGTTCGTCTTGCTTGCCATCGATCACTTTATGTAGTGATTGCTAACGCGATTTAACGCCGTGGGTTTTGTTACTGCAGAGGCAAAGCACGACGAGTATCCATGCGGTCTCTCGGATGGGATATGAAAGTCAACATCGATGGCATTTACTCAGTGCCGCTGGATTACGGCGTCCAGGCAGTCATGAAGATTGTTGATGAGCCAAAATACGTGCTACGGACCGTGGACTTTTCCCCATTACCAGGCTCGGCGCCCAAGAAGAGAATCTTTTAGACTATATCAGCAAATAGCACTCAGTTTTGGACGTGTCAATAGTAATTCAACCTTCACGACGTATAGTACTTCATGAAGTTTTGACTCCATATTTTTCTCAACTATCTGCGACTTCGCGAGCGAGATCTCGATGATGAGGACGAGTGGTGACGCCGGTGTCGGGAAGATCTCCTGGAGCGAGAGCGAGATCGGGACGAAGATACAGAGCGTCGTCGACTGCGGTGGATCCTTTCACGTCCACGAGAGTGTGATCGACTGTCGCTGCGCCTACGTCGACGAGACCGACGGCGATCATCATGACGCGAATGACGTGACTCTCGTGGACTCGACCCGCGATGCTCACTCGACTGAGATCGACGTCGCGGATCTGGACGCTGAGGTTCCTTTAGATCCCCTTTATCCGGTGTTGCGTCTTGGGTGCGAGTAAGTCGCGCTACTAACTCTTCAAATACCTGCTTTTGCTGTTGCTTCGAGAGCAACGCAGCTGATTCACTCGAAGCTGCTGAACTGTAGAAATCACGGAGAAGCCTTTGGACTTCCTCACTCTCCCATTTCATCGTCGACTTGTCAAGAGCAGAAATCTTTTCCTCCAGGAACTTGGTAAGACGTAGCTGCTCTCCATCGCGTTTAAGCGCTTCAGACTTATAATCTGCTACTGCTTTACCATAAATCTTCTCTTGCGCTGATAATGTCAATAGCGCTAGAACATTTTCCTGAATCTGATTGTACCGCTCAGCATCAAGAAGACGCTCCAGCGTCGAGAGGAAAACGCTCAGTGTGGTGCTTGGTTCCCATGAATCGAGCTGAAATTGTTCATGTAGGAGCTCAGTAAACTGTTTCTTAGCGAGCTTCAGTTTGCTCTTCTTCTCAGCCTTCAGATCTTCTCGACGATGCGCAACAAAATGCTCATAAATGGCACGACGCTCATCCATAGTTGGCACGCCCATGAACCGTGGATCTCCTGCAATCTGTGGCAGCGCTACCGACCACTTGGTCAAAGGCATTATGTTCTTGTCACGCAGCATGGCTCGGAACTGCTCGATGCGTTTTTGTTCACGAGCTTTGCGCTCTTCTTCTGCCTTCAGCTCCTCTGCTGTTAACGGCGTTTCCTCCTCAACTTGCTCTGCTGATTGCTCGACTTTCGCCTCCACGTCCTTCTGCCCCCCGTCTATATCTCGCTTCTCTTGCTGTTTCTTATGCTTTTTCTGCCTCTTCTTGTCTTTCTTTTCCTTTTTAGCAGCTTTGTCATTGTCTTTTCGTTGATTCTCCTCTTCTCGCGCTTCTCGAGCTGCTTTGGCCCCTGCTGCAGCAGCCTCCGCCTCGCCCCATTCGTGTGGACGCTCCCAAACTGACTCGCGCGTCTTCGAGTTGAAGTAATACAGCGTGCCATTACCCGCATTATGTGCTGTCCACACACCCGAGCGCGCCACGTTATTCTCCAGCATGAGCTTCATCATAAACTCCGTCTCAAGCGACGCGAGGTCGTCGGGGACCTCCCATTGGGACGAGTCCGTCTTATGATCGTAGTAGAATAGTCGCCCGTCGCCGTCGTCGTGCACAGACCATTCATCCACAACTTGGAGTGCATTTAGTACATAGAGTTTCTGCTCCGCCGTCCCGCTGGCCTTGGTAGAAGGCTCTTCGTCAACCATGTTGGCTCGCTCTTGTATCAATGATATTTGAAAAAGGTGTACCACACAAACTGCATCGGTGCCAGCCTCTCGGACCAGAATCAGGCACTTCTCTTGACTCGACTCTTGAGATGGCGGAGGTGCAGGGCCGCGGGCGGCGAGCGTCGACGATTAAGCGCCGGTTTGAGACCGACGAGGAGTATGTGGAGGAGCAGCTGCTGTTTGATCTGGAGTCGGAGCTTCAGCAGGTACAAGCGCTGAAGGTGCTGACGCAAGAGCGTTTGAGTCAGTTGATGCAGGAGCAGAAGCATTTGGAGCAACAGCAGAGGCGTTTACAGCGTCAAACCGACCGACGCGATGCTGGAGCTGCCACCGCACGCATGCTACAGTTGCAGGAGCAGGAGCGGGTGCGACTTGCGATGGCGGAGGCGAAACGCGAGCACGATGAAAAGGAAGCCAAAGCTAGGGCCGAGGAGGCGCAACGCCGACGAGAAAACGCGATTGAGACGCAGGATGATGACCTGGACGACCTCGATGCGTTCCTCGCACAGGACGCCGCCCATTTTTGAGGGCTTACGCACGCTAGTTTAAAATATTTATTGCTGGATAGAAATCAGTGCTGCCTGCCGAAAGTAACCCTTGACAGTTTTAGCTTTCGTGTATGGTGTGCCCCACCGATATAGGATACCATGGGGTCGCCAAAAGTTGTGGCCATCTGCCTGATAATGCGATCTCTCTTCTCCGCTGGTCGACACACGCCGGATGCTCTTCGACAGCATATGCATTTCTCGCTTTAGAAAAGACTTTATGGCTTACTACATGTACAAGTATTTCGAAGTCGCGAAGCTGAGGCAGGTCAGGGCCTACTGGCCTACTCAGTTGGCCAGATGGCGGAGAAGCTGTCAAGCACTTCAACAGCAAAATTTGCTGTACAGTACTGTACTACGACCGGGTCTGTTGGCGCTACATTAAATGTAGCGCCAACAGAGTTCGGAGGCAACACCCGACACTAGAGTGTACGGTGCACTTCAAACGATCAACGCTGGTGAGTTGTTTATAGGCCCAGTGATTCTTTAGACGAACGGATGAGGTAAGGAAACAACTTTTTACGTCACACCCAGGACAGGCTCACGCCCCGCGAGTCGCGGCTGCACGTTGGCCGGTCAGTGACCGGCGGTCACAGTATTATATTTGGTGTCGCCTCTTGCCTTTTGTCGGAGTCAGTTCCGAGGGAAATGTGAAACGGCAGCACATTGGCTGAAAGTCGTATAGGTTCTCAATTAGCTGAAAACCATCTTAGCGCACCGGTCTATTGGATAAAAAAATCTGCCTGAGTTTTCATGAGAGCGGGGCCAAACCGCCACCCCCAAACCCGCGAGCAGAGCAAGACACAACGCAAAAAGCGCCGATATCCGGAACGCGTTGACTAACTCAAAGAACACCACAAACTCACTCTGCACTGCCGCTCATATCCTCCTTTCCCCCTTTTGACCATCACTCCTGTTGCCCACGCCATGGAGACCGCCACCCCCAAGGACATGACCGACGCGGGCAACCGCAAGCGCAAGATGACGGCCTCCACGCCGCCGTCCGGCCTAAAGCGCGGCCACAAGCTGTCGCGACCGGCCGCCGCCCCGAGCGCCAGCATCTTGAATGGCGTGACACCGCCCGTGATCACGCCGCAAGGCTCCATCCACACTTCGGACCAGTTCATCGACCACCAGCGTGCCATGTTCAGCGCCGCCGTAGCGCCCACACCGCATGGGCCGGTGGACCACATGCCGCCTACCCCTGCTTTTGTCAACCGTAACGGCTTTAGCCACACGCCCGATGGCTTCTCCTCCACGCCTAGCGAAGGCTTCCCATCCAATAGCGCCCTGGCGCAGCGGGCAGCCGGCTCAGCTTCCACGCCTGCGGACGACAACCAGACGGCCGCCACGACCAACGGATACTCCTCACACGCGCCCACGCCGTCGCCTGTTCCTCGCGCGGCACCACTCAATCTCCGCAACTTCGCCAACTGGGAAGTCGGCACCCGATACTCGCTCGTGCGGCTGCTCGGCAAAGGTTCCTACGGACAGGTACAGATCAGTCCTGGTTTTTCTTTTTCTGTTTACGAGTCTCTGATCTGTCTTTCCTATTTAGGTGGCCGAGGCCTTCGATAACGAACGAAAGAAGAAAGTGGCCATTAAGAAGATCATCAACGTCTTTGACCAGGAGATCGACTGCAAGCGACTGTACCGCGAGATTTACATTTTGCGTCGTCTGAGGTATGTGGAAGATGTAATGTATAATGCTTTAGTATGCTGTGCTGATTTAAATGCTGTTTTGTTTTGCTACCAGCCACCCGCAAGTGATCAACTTGATCGATGTGATCCCGCCGGAGAACTACGACACTTTTACAGATCTGTACTTGGTGTTTGACTTTGTGGACACTGACCTGCACAAACTCATCATGAGCCCGCAGTACTTGACCATTCGTCACATCCAAGTCTTCCTGTATCAACTTCTGTGTGGACTGAAATACGTCCACTCAGCCAACGTGATCCACCGTGATATGAAACCCGCCAACATCTTGCTGAACGAAGACTGCACCCTTATGGTAAGTGACATTCAAAAGAAATACTTTTTTCTTAATGAAATATTTGCTAATTTTAAAATATTTTATTTAAAATAGATTTGCGACTTCGGCCTCTCTCGTGTAATGGAGAGCGATATGTCGATGGAGGAACTGAGCAAGCACTTGTACTCTCCGAAGGACTCCAAGTCGCCCACCACATCTGACGGAGGAACCACATCGGCACCTTCTCCTGGAAGCGCCTCCTCTACGCCTTCGTCGTCTGGCGAATTCCCCAAGATGCGACGACAGTTGACGAAACACGTTGTTACTCGATGGTATCGAGCACCAGAGCTGATTCTCCTTCAGGATTACGATTTCTCTGTCGATATGTGGAGCATTGGATGCATTTTTGCCGAGCTGTTGAGCATGCAAGTGGAGAGCTGTCCGCGGTACCAGGAGCGCGTGCCTCTCTTTCCTGGCCGCTCATGCTTCCCTCTTAGCGCAGACCGTCCCACGACGTACTCAGACAAGCTGGACCAGCTCAACGTGATTTTTAATGTGATCGGCACACCCGGCGAGGACGATATTGGCAGCTTGGGTGAAGTCAAACAGTACTTGCGGAAACTGCCTAAGAAGGAGCCCAGAGACCTTCGCGAGGTATGTACTGCGTCGTTTAAGCTCGCATTTGTAGCCATGTTCTGACCTGGTTGTATATCTGCGGTCCATCCAGATGTACCCTGGCGCTCCTGCTGACTCGCTTGACTTACTCAAGCAAATGCTGTCATTTAACCCCGAGAGCCGAATCTCGGTAAGTCTTTCAGCTTCTACACTACTTTATTCTAGTAGGTTTTTATCTGACTGTTTTATTTTTTCAGGTCGATAAAGCTCTAGCGCACCCGTTCCTGGAGTCAGTACGGAGGTCTCAGTCGGAGACTGTAGAAGGCAATCCGTTTGGCATGGAGTTTGAGAATGTCCCTCTGAACAAGGAGGCTTTGAAAGGTATGTGTGTGACTTGTAATTCTTCTTTTAAGTTCATGATACTTACGCATTTTTGTGAATTATACAGCCCGTATTTTTGAAGAAATCAAACTGTTCGCGGAACGAAACAACCGGAGATGAATGAAGTCTCCCGCTCTGTTCGACCGCGACGGGGCGAGCCTCGACTTGGTCCGTGTTCGGCTTGCGGGAATGAAGATGGAATCAGACGAAGGGGTGAAGCAACAAACGGCCGGTGGTAAAAGTCGGTTAGTTTGAGTATGTAAAATGTGAAGAAAGGAAGGCAAGAACGAGATGGCGTGTGGGCTACAATGAAGCTACAAAGTCAAATGGCGATGGTCCTGTTAAGACAGCTGACTCCTCGAAAGAAGAGGAGCTCAGTAGCCTGTAGTGGATGTATGAACTGCACACCTTCGTTCTTGTGACCTTACGATGCATCAAGACAAGAAGAGCCAGACGGAAGATCAAAACGGAGAGACGAGAGTAAAAGTAAGTGGATATCCGATCTCGTCAGACGGCAACGCCGCCATCCGAGGGCAAAAGTAGGCGCGTGGTGCTCGTCTGTATGTTGGCTTGTCTTACGCTTCGATTGCAGTGTCGAATGTGTTTTCAATAGATGAAGAAGATTGACCTAACGTTCCTGAGGATGCTGATACCGTTGCTTCGTTTCATGTTTTATTTTTGCTTTTTCCTAGTCACTAAAAGTGCTGTTTCAAAACGGACATTGCAGTGCTTATGGCCGAGACACTCGCATATAGACAAACAACTAATGCCAAACCAAGCTCATACCTTATTGGAACTCGCTGTGCCTTCCTGACGACTATGGAGACGAGCGTGGATACGCTCGTGTACCAACTGGAAGACGACGATACCAATGTACGTTGGAATTCATTACAGAAGCTTCGAAGGATTGCAGCAGTGGAAACCTCGCACTTTCCGGTTCGCAATACTCGACGCTTTCTTCAATGTGTCCGGAGACGAATTGTCAATGAAGCAGATCCCTGTGTAGCTATTGAGGCGCTGAGGTTACTTGGAGACGTGATGGTCTCACTTGGAGATGATGTCGACCAAATCTTGTCTTCCATTCTGCCTCATTTAATCTCGATCCTGCCGAGAACACGCAAGGACCAGGAGGATAGTGAGGAGGATTCAGATATTCTACAGGAAGAGATGCTCCAAGTCTTTCGGAAATACACGAACGTTACCAATGATCTCCAAGCTGTCGCCGACTTGCTCGTTAATATCGGTCTTGGAAGTGGACAAGGAGCTGTACGTGAAACCTCGCTCGTTGTCTTGATGCGACTACTCGATGAACGATTCTTGAAGCATTCAAAGACAAATCGAGATGCTACAAGATCCGCAATCGGTCGAGGAGACAAGGCACTTATCGTCGCTTTGGTGCAAGCTATAATACCGGCCATGGAAGATACGAACGAGAATGTGGTCGTAGTGGCCGAGGAAGCCATCGCCAAACTTGAGTCCTACTGGGGTAGTCGATTTTCCAGCGACATGATGAAGTTTCTAAGCACTGAAGACAAACGGACGCTACAGGAGCATCAAGAACCGATCGCAGATTTCTTGCAGGTATGCACAACCTCTACATCGCCACCGGCTTCACCACCGCAGTCTTTACGGCCAACTTCTACTGCGTCATTCAGTGATGCATGTCCGTCAAAAGCTCACCCTCTGACGTTGACAGAAGAGCTATATTTTGGGTTCCTGAAAGCTGATATCGTGGCGATATTAACTACATACATGAGCAACTCGAATGCTGACTGGAAGAAGCGCGCAACAGCCGTGGAAAAGCTGTACGCAGCTTGCAAGGAGGTGGATGCAGGTACGTTACGTGGATTTACAGTGGAAGAGCGAGCCAAACGAATGGACGAACTAGAGAAACTTTTCGACGTCCTGGTGCATCTTACACAAGATGTGGATGTACATCTTGTTAAACGAGCACTCCAGATCGCGCAGATATTATTCCGTAAGCTGAGCCCGCCGCGATACAAAGAAGATGATGTCCAACCGAATCAAAACGATGAGAACGCAGAGGTCAAGGATGCAGCATTCTACATGAAAAAGATGCTATCCCCCACGATAGAAACCGCAGCAAACTTTGTTGGTGATGACGACGAGATGGAGAGTTTTGTGTATACCCTACTAGGACAGGTCTTTGCAAGTGGCTGCGTTAGTGTTACCTCGATCGAGCAAGTGCTAGCTTCGACGTCACTTCGACATCGTCGCTCTCAAATTCGAGAAGAAGCCGTGAAAGTTTGGATTGTGCTTCTTCTAATCACAGATCGAGAAAGTCTCTTATCAGATAGCTACGCACCGAATGAGTACGTTGTACAGACGCTGGGACGCTTGCTAGGAGATACGAACGCCCGTGTGCGGGACTTGGCTTTCGAAGTGGCTGCCGTGCTCGCTATGGTGTGCTGCTGTAATATTTACGCATTACTGGAGACTCTTGTCGAGGATGAGTATGTTGCGGAACGAGTGGATTGGGCTGCGCTACGTGCGAGATTAAGACGTAAAAATGTTCCAGAGCTTCGATCCAATTGCACGCTACGAATTAAATCTACGGCTGTGGCTACGGGCGTATGTAGAAGTCGAACGAATCGACTGGCTTCGAGTGTAGAGCAATCGCTGGATAGTATCTCCGAGATGAGGGTGCTGGTTAGAAACGGACTTAAGTCTCACGAACACCAAAGCGAATCGAGTGTAGCGAGAAGTGAAGGGGTCTACACAACGGTTGACATCAACGAAAAGTTGTCTGCCTTGAGAAAGAAAATGGATCAACCTCGCTCCAAGCGGACACAGCGCCCTCAGAGTGAAAAGGCCATGACGACGTCTAAGCTCGAGAGAGTAAACGATAACAAGATAGAGTTAGCGATGCAAGTGCTCCCTCGATCTAAAAGCTCGCCAGAACAATCCGCTAATAACCTCACCGACTTTGATGAAAGCCCGAGAACAATGATCTATCAATCCCCTAAAAGCAAGCGAGTCTATTCGAACAAGATCGCAGTGACTCTTTTAACAGCAGAGGAGCTCACAACTGCACCTAGACAGCTTAGCCCTCAGCAATTACAAAGCCTACAAAGCGATTCACACAACTACGAGGATCGTAGCAAGTTCACCGACCGAGCGAGAGTCACTAAAGCTGAGTCTCCCTCGCATTCTTCGTATGATGAACGCCCTATTTGTCCGCTGGCTTCCTCGGGAGAATCTGACCAAATCTATTTAAGTGCCGTAAGGCAAGATGAGCTTGACAACAATGAAGTTCGGCCAACTAGGAAAAGCAATGGCGAGCGTGTGGTGTCTCTAGCAACTCGAAAGCGACTGGAAGCAAAGACGAAACAGGACGGTGAAAGAAATAGCAACAATTCCCCAAGGCTGTCGCCAGAGAAAAGAGTGAGTGAAAATGAGCCGTCAAATAGCAAAGATTTTGGTGAAGCGCCCCGGTCTGGCAAGCAAGAACCACGATACTTGGAGCCGCACGAGATCACTCCTTTGATGAATCCTAAACATGAGCTAAACAGAGTTCTCTCTCAACTTCAAAGTGACGACTGGGAAGCAAACTTCGAAGCACTTAGTACAGTTCGACGACTTGCATTGCATCACGCTAGCGTGATCGACGCAGTCAAGGTTCACACAATTATCTCTGGGATCATGAAGCAAGTCTCGAATCTGCGTTCATCAGTCTCAAAGAATGCCCTGATGGCACTTGAGTCCATGTGTGCTGCTTTCAGTCGAGCAATGGATTCGGAAGTGGAGAGTATCGTCCCCGTCTTGCTCAAGCGCTGTGCAGACTCGAACGCCTTTGTGTGTGAGTCAGCTGCAGCGTCTTTACGTGCCGTGGTGCTGAAGTGCACTACATCTCGCGTTGTATCTGCCTTGACGTCTCGTGCGAGCAGCAAGGCCGCACCGATCCGACGAGAAGTAGCTCGTGGTATCTACGCACTTATTCTAGGTCAAGCTGACATACAGACAAGTAAGGATCTGCCTCCAGTTCTTCAACTGGTTGGCCGATGCCTCGAAGACTCTAATAACGAGGTGCGTGACATTGCCAAGCAGGCAATACTCCACTTACACCACATACAACGCTTACCAAGCGAGCGGATCAAGAGGTTCTTATCGGCATCAGCACAGTCAAAAGTCAACAGCGCTTTGAGTGGGAAAGTCGCGTATGTACCGCAACTACTTCCCAAGTCGTCCAGTTTGATGGAAATTGCTTCGGAGTTGCCTTCGTCTGCCACCAAGAAACGAGAGACTACCTCAGCACCAAAGGCAAAGAAGACTGCGAAGCTCTCTAGTCGAGCGTCTCCACCTGCATCGAGCAACGGAACTCGATTAAAGATGAACTCGGATGAACTCCATCGACTCGAGGCGAAACTCGACAGTAATAACTGGAAAGACCGCTTTGATGCGCTCAACGAGACGACGAATTTCATCTGTGGCTGTGCCTCAGCTCTCGTGGAAAGCGGCCAGATGCTGAATCTATTCGACCAGCTCATCAAACGCCTGGACGATGGCAATGCCAAGGTGAACGTACTAGCGCTCGAGTGCATGGAGAGGATTGTCCCTGCTGTTGGCAGTGGAATGGAGCAAATATTACCGAATTTTGTGCCTGCAATCGCTAAGAACCTTGCCAACGCTCGAACGTCATCTCTGGCTCTGTCTGTAGTGCGACAGCTTTGCGCGCACGCGGACAATCGCTCTCTGTGCCAACAGTTTGCGATTCAAGCTCGTAGTGCCAACTCCCGTGTGATCCCAGCTCTTCTTGATACGCTTACGCAACTGACAGCACACAGCTTGGACGACAAAAACAACTACGTGCTTACTCGCCATGTGCTGCCCTTGGCGGTGGATCTGCTGAAGGAAGCCAAGAGTGGCGTGAAAGAAGCAAACTCGAGATTACTACGGCAACTACGTAGGACGCTAGGACCCACAGCTATATCGAATGCCGCATCCAAGCTGAGCTCGACGCAGCAAGACAAACTTGCTGCTGTGCTGCGATGACAATATTCAACTTGTAAAAAAACCCAAAGTGGCTTATCCAGTTAGAAACGCAACTTTACTTAGCGCAACATTAGACATCGTTTGAATTTTGAAGGCGCCAATTCGGCGCTCTCGTCCATTCTTCGATCAGCACAAAGGCCTGCGCTCCGTAAGACAACAGTAGCGCCATGTCAAGCACGCCGCAGAAGGACACAGCGGAGGAGCACCAAGAGATGGAGCAGCAGGTGTCGTCTCCGCCGCAATCGTCGGAGAAGCAGACGCAGGACACTGAGGCGGAGGAGGAAGTACCGGCCACCATGGGCGAGCAGAAAACCGAGGAGACGCAGCAAGGAAAAGTTGAAGAAGTAGAGATGGAGATGCAGGAGGAAAGCCTAGAGCCGGAAAAGCAAGAACACGAGAAGACGCAAGAGGAAAAGACGCCTGTGAAGGCTGCCACACCGTCGGAAAAGAAAAAGCCAAGCCAGGCGACGTCTGCCTCCAAGTCCGCCACTAAAAGGAAGTTCGACGCTCTCCACGCTCGCAATGCACCTTCCATTCCAGAGCACGAGAAGAATAAAAAAGCTCGCGCCTCCGCCTTAATGAAGACGCCCGGTGCGAAGCTTAATGAGAAGAAAGCTCCAACGAAGACAAGGGAGTTCTCCTTCGCGAGACCTACAGAATCTTCCGCTAGTCGCACAACTGCAATCGCGAAGGATCACGGACACCCAAAGACGACGCCAACGCCCCCACCTGCTCGTAAGCCGCTACACCCGAAGAACACACCGGCAAAGGCTCAGCACACATCAGCAGCGGCTCCCAAGACTCCGACAGACAAGACGTCGCGACCTCACTTCAGCTACACGCCATACACGGGTCCATTGCCGCCTTTGACCGTCGAATCCAGCTTTGCACCCAAAGGCTCGCAGAATACGAGCCACAAGTTGCCTGCCTCTGCACGTAAGCCACGCCCGGCATCAGCGAAGAAGACACGACCGCAGAGTTCGACTGGTAAGGAAAATAATGGTGTGAACACAGATGGAGATGCAGCTACTAACGCAGCTTCCAGCAGCAAGGTAAACCACCGTGACGAAGGAGCAGACCCGGTCGGCGTTTGAAAAGAAGGTCAAGGCTCAACGCTTCACTGAGCCAACAGCATAGCCGACTGCAAATTTGCTACACACTTGTAGGCCTCCACTCGCCTTATATATCTAGCGCCGTTCTTATTCGCATGACGTTGTTTGCAGCTACATGTATATGGAGGCACTAAAATAAATAATCTTTTTTTTAGCTTGAAGTGTTGAACACAATTACTCCTCTGAAGAACAGGATGGTGCTACACGAACACCGATTAGTGCGTACGATGTGTACTACTGTACGATGAGGGCTGTAAGTGTGAGCGTGAAAAATGGAAACCAAGTACTTAGACATGAGCGAGATCTACAGGTAGGGCACTTATGAATATTTCTTGGTAGTTTGCTTGTTTGTGGAGTGATTGTGTTTTGAGTTGAGCGTGCTGCCTATAGTTTCGCCCAACGAACCGATCAATTACGTCAAGAATCTTAATAATGGCTCGTTTTGGATGTTAATGAAGCCTACAACTTCACATCGAGTCAGTGGGTATCTGGATTGGAGCTGCTACCGAATTAGTAAAATCCAAATAGAAGATCATCATCAGCTATGCTACCGTATTGCATGGATTAGACAGCGAGTATCGACTGAAGAGCGGTGCAATTTGTCGCTATCAGTGGGGGATATGCTTATCACTTGAAGACCAAGCAAAAAAAAACCGAAAGCGCATTCATCAGATCTCTGTCAACTTCGAAGAGCTCTGTATATTCACTATATACATTCGAACAACCACTTGGCGACTTCCTTCAAGTAATTTGGAGATCTACGTTTGTCCGTGCCGATGCATTAATTGACATGAATACTGTACATGTATATGTAGCACCAGCAATTTTCAGCTTAAATTCTGGAACCATCATTGAAATACGAAATATGCTCGACATTAAATTTCCTGGGTCGCTTTGACGGTGTTTGTAGTTAGCCTGAATCCTTCGTACATACATGTACACTAAACACAAGCTCAGGAATAATGTTCGGTGTCGCTTCCTTTTAATCTCCTTGTACTGGACAAACAAATTATGAAATGCATCCAATCTTAAAAAGGTTGTATCGAAGGATAAGTGACTATTTCAACCAAACTGAGAATATAAAATATTCATAACGACGTTGTTACCAGCACGCTTCGCTACGCTTGTCTTCTCTCTCTCGATGCTGGCAAATCAAAAAAGGATGTTGAGCTAGTGCGCCAACATCGTGTCAAGGTATCCCGCCACCTTGTCGCCAATGCGTCCCAGCTTCTTCGCTTCTTGACCACTTCTCACCGCCACGTCAGCATCACGAAGGCGGCGTGCTGCACGTAGAAACGCTGTGCCTCGACCAGTGTGGCGCTTATACAGCTCCTCCTCGCCGTACTCGGCCAGTGCATCCACTAGAATTTGGTTCTTCTCAACTTGCGCTGGCTTGCTGGTTACATCCTTCACGATAGGTGGCACCACCGAGTCGTATTCACGCTGACCATATTCACTCTGCTCTTCTTCCTCTTCTTCTGCGTCGTACTCGTAGTCTTCGTCGCTGTCAGCGTGACCCTGCTGGATGATCTGGTCGATCTTAGCCGCAATACGTTGACCAACCATCCCGATATCCTTACTGGCTTGCTTCCCCGACTTCACCACTGTCTCGGAGTCCCGAATGCCTTGAGCTGCACGCAAATGCGAGATGCCCTTGCCTCTATGACCCGAATTCAAGTGGCTATCACCGTAGTCGATCAGAGCATCCACGATCGACTGGTTCTCTGAACACTTGGCAGGATTTTCACGCAAGTCCTTGACAATCGGGGCGAGGGTATAGCCACCTCCACTACCTCGCGAGTAGCTACGAGACCCAGTCGTCTCCCCCGTGTCCTTGACGATGCGACCATGCTCCAAGATCTGGTCAATCTTGTCAGATATAACATCACCAACCAAGGGAACACTCGTTCGGGCAGTGGACCCAGACTTGATCACGTGGTCTGCGAGTTGAATCTCGCGTGCTGCACGAAGGTGACTCGTTCCTTTACCAGGACTACCGAAGTAGAGTTCGTGTTCTCCAAACTTCGTCAACTCTTGTACCAACGGCTGGTTCTCTGGACATTTGGCTCGAGAATTGTGGATCTCCACCACCAGTTCAGGACGTTGGTGGTCTTCCACGTCCGTGCTGATATTTTGGTCACCAGTGGTGTCTTTCACCTTCCCAGTGGCCATGATTTCCTCGATCTGGGCAGCGATCTTGTCGCCCACCATAGGCACAGCACGTGCTTCTTTCGACGACTTGATTGCAGTCGGGTGGTCTCTAATGTGGAGTGCAGCACGAAGATGGGAGACCCCCTTGCCCGTGTGTCCGTGATCAAGTTGCCCTTCACCATAATCGACAAGTGCATCCACGATCTTCTGGTTCGCAGAGTTTGCAGCTTTCTTCTCACGAACTTCTTCGACCAAACGGATGGTCTTGTGGGGAGGCATGGACTCTTTCTCAACGTCTTCCATGTTAGTGTCGTCCTTGGATACAGCGGCATACGCGTAACCAGCGGAAGCTGGTTCAGTCTCTTCGCCGTTTTCACCTGCACGCTTCGTCTTTTTACTACTTGGGTTCGACTCCGACGGAAGCGATCGTTTGTTTCGACCAAATTTTGCCATCATCTTCTTCATCGCACCCTGTCAAATAGGATGACGTTATCCATTGACGATATCGAAAGCTACACACGTTGTTGGTTACCTGTTCATCACCATTTGACGCTAGTAGGGCTGTGGCGATCTCATGTGTGGCTACGTAAGGATTCTTTTCACCGACGACGATGTGTTAGTGGTTTACGCAGGCAAAAATGGCCGCAGTGCTGCTGTAGTACCTCCGGAATATCGACGCTCTTGTTCTTGGCCATCTCTCGCAGCTTGCCGATCTGCGCGTACACCGCATCAGCTGTCTTGGCGTCGGTCATGGTCACTTCTGCAAATTCTTCCACCGTGTGCGTGGCTTCTGCAAAAAACGAGAATGAGACGATGTCTCTAGAGAATTTCCGTGCGAGAACAAATTATGAGACGCAGACATCCCGTTAGATTAACAACATACAGCCAAACCTTCAAGCGAGACAAGAGGATTTGGCCACGAGAATGCAGAAAAGTTGTTGAAATCTACTGCGAGAAAATCAAATATGTGAGACCTTGAGATTTCCCAGTTCCCGTCAGTGCGTCGCATTCGTCACAGTGCTCTTTGCTAAATTTCTCAGCAAAGTGTGTATTTTTCCAAAGTATTAAAAGTTACAAAATAAATCTGCCACATGCCTACATTGCTGCGTCCTACTTTTCTGCTTCTTCGGTGATGTCCTCCGCCTCGTCCGGCGACTGACACGTCAACGCGTCGATGAAAGTAGCAACTTTGTTCCCAATGCAGCCCAATGCTTGGGCCACAGTGCCACTTGTCACTAACTCTGCAGTATCTCGTAGACGACAGGCTGCACGCATAGAAGCCGTTCCTTGACCCGTGTGACACTGAGCAAGCTGCATTTCTCCACGATCTGAAAGCGCGTCCACAATTTTCTGGTTTCCTTCGACTCGTGCTTGCTTGCTGCGAACTTCGTGAACAATTCGTGGGGTACCAGAAGGTTCGCGAACTCCAAACTCGCTTCCTTGGTCGTCTTGGTCATCTACTTCATCGTCGGTATCAGCATGACCATGTTCTAACAGTTGATCGATCTTTGCACCAATTTGAGCTCCAACATACTTGATCGACTCTGCCGCCTGCTTTCCCGACGTCACCACAATATCCGAATCTCGAATTGCCATTGCAGCACGTAAATGGGCAACACCCTTGCCAGCATGACCCGAGTGCGAATGACTACTGCCGTAGTCGACCAATGCATCCACGAGGAGCTGATTTTCAGGCCGCACAGCACGCTCCTCCACAATCAGTTCCGGTTGAATGTTTCTTCCCGCAACTGGGATATCCTTAACAATGCGGCCATATTTCAGAATCTGGTCAATCTTGTCGGCAATTGTTGCTCCAACAAGAGGTACTTCACGACGAGCCTGGTCTCCGGAACTGACAACCTGATTGGTTAGCTGTAGTTCTCGGGCTGCGCGTAGGTGAGTCATCCCTTTGCTAACGCTACGGAAGTTAAGCTCGTGTTCCCCAAATTTCGAAAGCTCATCAACCAGGATTTGGTTTTCAGAACATTTTGCTCGAGTTTCGTGCACTTCGTGAACCAATTCAGGCAGCGTGTGCTTTTCCACATCGTCCAGCTTGAGTTTGTCTTCCAGCTTTCCAGAGCTCAAAAGCTGTTCAATTTGAGTTGCCATCTTGGATCCAACCAATGGAACAGCACGAGCTTCCGTACCAGATTCGATGGCGCGGGGATAGTCTCGAATAGCACACGCTGCACGCAGATGAGTGACTCCTGTCCCCGTGTGTCCTTGATGAAGTTGCTGCTCTCCATAGTCCGCGAATGTGTTCACGATAACTTGATTCGAGAACACAGCCGCCGGCTCTTTACGAACGTCTTCAGTCAAGCGAGATACCTTCCGTGGCGGCTCTTCTCCTTCATTCGCAGCGATGTTCTCGTCGCCAACCTCGTCTTCTTCCAGATCCACGGGTGTTTCCTCTCCTGCATCACCGATAGCTCGTTCGGTTTCACGGGCCTTCGCTGTCGCGGCATGTTCTCGCTTGGCCCCCCTTTTGAACTTAACGGCTAGTAGCTCCATTGCACCCTATTAAACAGTCCGATTTGTCACGACAGCGTCAGCATCTCCATTAAACTATAGTTTAAATCGCACTGGTTACCTCTTCGTCGCCATGAGATGCAGAGAGTGCCTTCAAGATCTCCGCAGAAGCATCGTAGATGCTCTACAAAACAACAGAAACGAAATATCAAACACTTCTTAAGTAACCCCCAGCTCCTACTATTTTAGCACTAAGGCCGTACCTCGGGAAGACTTACACCGCCTCGCTTGCACCCTTCGCGCAAGTTGTCTAGGTGTTGGTACAACTGAGTGAAATCTTCATCAACCATGGTGTCTTTGCCAGCGTAAGTTTGATTGTGTCTACTGTACTGTAGGAATAATCTGCTGCGACGAAATCCTTGCGACGGGTAGTGAAGGGTTCTCGTTCCCGTTGATTTTGTGTGTGTGTCTTATCTCATATTCTCGCAGACCGCTTCAGGTCGAAACTTTCAAAATGCAAGCGACCTTTGCAGGATTTACCGGTTTCGGAACAGCATATCTGCGTGCCATCGAGAGCATGCGCTCTGATCGTATCACCCGTCTTACGTTCCAGAATCGTGCAGATCTAGAAAAAGCCTTAATTACAACGCCTAAATTAAGAAATTCGTTTGGAGACTTCATTTCCATTCGCACTCGGTATCTGGATGAAGCGCTGGAGCATCGAGATGCTAAAATTCGCCAAGTAGTGATCCTCGGTGCAGGTCTGGATACCCGCGCATTTCGGCTGGAAACACTGCGTGGATGCCATATTCTGGAATTGATCAAAAACGGGGAGGCTTTCGAGAGTAAGATCAAGATGACGGAGAAGGAGGACATGACACTAATTGCTGAGAGAGCTGACTACATCGTCGCGAACCTGACTGACGATGATTGGGACAACAAGCTGTTAGCTGATGGATTCGCCCCGAGCTCTCCAACTTTCTGGACCATGGAAGGCCTTCTTCCGTATTTGAAGTGTTCGAATATTATTGCGTTGTTGGACGCACTCGACGGTTTGTCTGCACCCGGAAGTGAATTTGGGGCTGACATGCCTGGCCACACAACGTTCAGTTCTGGGAACACTGCTACAATGATGAAATACGCTGAAAAAGATCCTCTTCACGGTGTATTGAGCAAGATTCCTTGGTGCTTGAAAATGCAAGCTTCGCTAGGAAATGAAGGAATTCATTTTGGGCGCGAGTGGTCGCCGCTAGTCTCCCAGGACACCAACGAGAACATTTCGATCGCATTCATTATGGGCAAGAAGCCTGTTTGTGCTGAAGTGCGTCTGAAAGACGTATGTCCAGGCTTGGATTTCTAATTTGGTAGCTTTCTAAACGCTGGGCTAAATGTTTAAATACTAACGCCAAAACCTTCCTTGCTTCCCATTCAAATTACCGGTATTCACTCTTGTCAGCCATTGTGAATTGGGTTACTGTACCGTTCTCAGCCATAGTTTTTTCGTATTCTGGGAGAAGTCCAGGATAGGTCACAGTTGCTTTTGCCTCATCGCCAGGAAGCGGATATGGATATGGATCTTCTTTCACCTTCCTCGGAATTAGAATTGGACGATGCGTTTGCCGAGTCCATGGGCTTCGTCACAACCTACTTACGAGCACTTGAGACTGCTCGCAATGACCGAATCATCAACGATCCCTTCGCCGAACCACTCACCCAAAAGCAGCAATCCAAGATCGATAAGTTTCTGAAAGAAATATGGAGTGAAGTCTGCTCTTTCCCGGAAACGCTAATTGCATTCCGTACGCGCTATCTAGACGAAGCGCTTCAGCACCGTGATCCCGCAATCCTACAAATTGTGATTCTTGGAGCAGGACTTGATTCCCGTGCATACCGTTTGGAGTCACTCCGTGGTTGCCACGTTCTGGAACTTGACCAAAGTGGTGCTATGTTTGAACACAAGGCGGACGTGATGAGAGAGCTACACGCGCCACTTATGGCCCAGAATGTGGACTGTATTGTCTCGAACTTGGCTGAAGCAGGCTTAGAGGTAAACCTAATGGGGCACGGATTCAACCCCACGATGCCCACTTTCTGGGTTATGGAGGGACTGGTCCCGTACATGGAACGCTCGAGCATTGTCGAGATATTGAAGACTATCGACTATTTGTCGGCTCCTGGAAGTCAGTTTTGGGCGGATATTCCAGGTCAGACTCTTGCTGACAGCGAAGAATGGGGAAAGCGCGCCATGAAATACGGCGAGGACGATCCGTTGCATGGAGTTTTTAGCGAGATCTCATGGACAGTGGAAGAACAGGTATCTTTGAAGGCTGCTGGAGATCACTTTGGTCGTCACTGGTCTCCTGTGCTTTCGCCGAAAAGTAAGCAGGTGGTGCCGCTGTTCTTTGTCGTCGGCAAGAAACCTATTCCAGGTGTGGTGGTGGAACAGAAGATGGCCCCCGGTCTTCATTTCGAGGAGTAACGAGTGCAGTATTTACCCGTACACTTTCCTTGACATCAAGATGTCCAATTCAGCGAGCAATTGCTTGCAAACTATTCGTCGATCGCTTTTGTTGGCCTATCCAGTTAACAGAAATAAAACTATTCAGTACACCTTGAAGTAATCTCGAAGATATACATTTGTTATGCGTTGTTGCCACCACCGCTAGTCATTGGCGCAGCACCGTGGTGAAAAGGGCATCAGATTGCCGATTCAAATACTTATAAACCACCAGTGGCTCCTGTCCGATACCCACAAACAAAAATCCCACCACTATGGCAAACGTCGAAAAGCTCGACAATATCTCAAGTGACAATGCAGGAGTATCAGAATCTCCGTCTCCGTCGAAAGCAACACGAGCGGTTACCCGCTTTTTTGTGCGGCACTCCATCGGCATGCTCTTTTGGGTTGTAGTTGGGGGTGCTATCACCTCAATGTTACTAACCACGCAGAGCGAGCAGAACGACAACAACCTTTTACCCACGACGAAGATTCAAACCAACAAAGGATCAGGATGGTATCTTGGTGGAAACGACCCCGAACACGTTTTGACAACGCTACCAGCGATCCAATCCCTCGATGAGCTACCCGAAAGCTGGGACTGGCGTGACTACAACGGTACAGGCCTGAGCCTCACTACAAGTGTCTTAAATCAAATGGTTCCCCGTGCCTGTGGATCTTGCTGGGCCTGTGCGACCGTCAGCGCACTTTCGGATCGGATTCGTATCGCCAAATTTAAGAAGACCGGCCATCTAGATGCAGAAGTGGTGTTGTCGCCTCAAGTACTACTCGATTGCGGAATGCGTTCCTTTGGGTCGTGTCGCGGTGGAGATCCTCGATACGCTCACGAGTGGATCTATGAGAATGGCATCGTGGACTCGACGTGCAGTCCATATATTGCAGCACACCCGTCATGGATAGGCAGTGGAGACTGCGCTGCCACGTAGTGTCACACCTGCACTATGAATGGAGACTGCTTTGTGATTGGAAACCCGAAGAAATACTTCATCTCAGAGTACGGCACGCTAAATTTCACGACGCCGGAAGAATTTCAATTGGAAGCAATGAACGAAATTTACCATCGTGGTCCGATCGTTGTGAGTTTATACTCGCTGACACCAGAGTTCAAACAATATAAAGGAGGATACATCTTACGAGACTCCGGCGAGTACCCCGGAACGACTCTTGTCGTGAGTATTGTTGGCTGGGGAGCAGACAATAAGACCGGAGTCAAATTTTGGGCTGTACGCAACTCGGTGGGCACTCATTGGGGTGATCGCGGTTACTTCTTCATCGAACGGGGCACTAACACCTTTAACATCGAAAACAAAGGTGCGTGGGCCGTGCCCATCGTGTAGACAGGAGTTGCACTAAGTGGTTAGATCATATCTAACTTAGATGTGTCAAATATTCCAGCTTTTCCTCTCCCTCTACTTTCTGGAATCTTTCTGCGTTAAGGCATACATGGATAGCTTGTTCAGTTCAGACACAACACGACAGTATCAGTAGCAGCTTTTCCCCATGTCAGGAGCTCACGATTTGTACATGAAAGCTAAAATAACTTACCACATCAACTTCGATAAGCACTTACTCTCGATGGTATTTTTTCGCTATGATGACTCGAGGAGGAGCAGACCAAAACACTAATAAAGTGACTATACACACGTTAGTGTATGAGTAATCCCACGATGGGGGGGGCAGCTGCACCAAAATAGTGGCGGATTACAAGCACCATCTGTATCGTAGTGTATCGCTTTAGAAACGAATCCATGCAAGATGTGAAGGAACTTCACACCAACTCAAACGATAAAAACACTACGTTCACTGAGATAGCTCAGTGTCATACAATCGCAACTACACTAGTAATGGCACTTAGATCCCTATATGTGTAGTTGTGACTTAGAACGGAAAGAACGTAGCTATCTTCAACCGCTGAAGATCCGCATTTGCGACTTAAATGTAAATGTATTGTATGGAAGCATTGTCCACGTGTGGCCGCACTGGTTTTAAAGATTCAACTGTCGGTGTCAATTCGGTTCGAATAGCTTCATCCGAAAAAACTGGATGAATCTGCTCTTGGCTGCATCACGGCCGTCGTTGCAGCCGACAAAATGAGGGACGGAGTGGAGGTTGTGGTCAACATGGTCCAACTTTCTTTTTCGTCAACGACTTAATTAAGTAGATCTTACTGCAGATCCAATCATACGCTATAATAACCCCACCGAGACGTATCAAGACTACAATTTGCCCGATGAACTGCAAACCAAACGAGCGACAAAGGGGACGACGACGACCTGGATAATACTAAACAAAAATGCAAACGAATATGATGATTTGAATTAAGTAAGTGAGGAGATCGATGTGTTGGACGGAATATTGGAGCTATTATAGCACTTCCTCGGTCGAGGCTGCAGCCTCATCAGCCTTGCAGTCGTAGCGTAGTAGTTGCGGTGAATCTTCAAGCGAGCTGTTTATAGGACCAGAAGTACACTTGTTTATCGAGGAGAGCAGGTCGACAAGGCGCACTTTTGACGTACCGGATGCAGTTGTTTTGAGCGTTGATCTGCTTGAGACGGAAGCAACCGTCCAGTCCGCCAAGTTCCTGAATCTGGCAGGTCGTCAAAGAAAGAATCTTAAGTTGAAATTCTACTGCACAGATGACATACCTGGTTGTCATTGATCCAGAGCACCTCGAGGTTAACGAAAGCATCGAAGTTCGCAATTTAGTCGATGCGCTTATTGTTCATGTACAGCTCGGTGCAGCTTTTCACATATTCGTGATTCTTGATGGGCAGCTCCGCATGGGGATCCGAAAGCCGCCAATTTCGTGTCATGTTAGAGATCGGAGAGCGATCAAACTAAAGTTGTTGATTAAAAAATGACGTTGACGAACAGATTTGACAATTTTATTTTAAAAAGAACCCCGTTATCTTAAACGACACTTCTGCTCTAATTAGCTGGTACGTGGTGGAGATCATAGTTCTTTTAACCAGGCTTGAACTTAGCCACGTCTGTCTAACGAGCTCAACGACCCGACCAAGCGCCACGGAGAAGCTACCGAGCCTGGTACCAGCACACGCCAGATACACGCAGCAGCTCGTCCAGTCGCGGGTCCAGCACCTCCAAAGGCGTACAGATAGACAGCTTGAGACACTCTTCAAGCTGCTGTGGGCCCACATCCACTCGGAACAAATCCGCCGGAAGCGCCAACGTGCGAGCCACATCGGCACCAGGGCCACGTGAGTCATCAAACAGCAGGCGAGATCACAGCAAATCACGTTCGCAGTGTTGAGCAGCAACGCGGAACAACTCTCGCGTGAAGAGCTGAGCTTCCTGCAGAGCCCGCTCCACCGGTAGCACACCATTGCCCACGCCTAGTTCCGAAGGGGTACTCTTGAGTAGCAGAAGCTGTACAGCGTCCTTGTCCAGAGGCTTGCGTGTCAGCGGTTGCGTTGTGAGGACCAGCGAGTATTCGCCCAACGGCTCCACCTTACGTGTCGACAGAGTTATCGTGGACGGAGGTCGATGGAAGAAGCTTCCTGATGACGAGTGACACACGACTGCATCCGGTGTACCAAACTGCAGTAGGTCTAACACTTCGTAGCGTGAGCCATGACATGCGATGTATCGGAGTAAGATCTGCACCATGATCAGCTCCAAGCAGTTGGATTGCAACGACGCAGGTTGCAGCTTTACTGTCACCATGCGGATCACACAGTCGCGCCAGAGCAGCGACAAGGGTGCTGCAGATGTTGACGCGGTGTTCGCTTGAGCTGGGCCCAAATGATGTACCAGCTGCGGATGCGGTTTGTTGGCAGCTCGTCGAGTAAATCTCGCTGCAGCTCGCGAAGGCGGTCGATGGCCATCACTGCTACGTGGTGCAGGTGTCAAGGTAGCTCTGACATCGTTCGTCCTTGTCAGTGCGGTGCTCTTGCTGCTGGGATACCTGGCAGGTGACGACGTTGGGGCTGGTGTACTGAACTTCTTGGGTTCCTCCGGCGGGTCCGGAAAGGCTTGCAAGAATCATTGAAGCCCCTTGACGATGTTCTGGAACGTGGACGCTTTCTTCCAAGGCAGCGGTGGGGTCACGACAAGCGCATCATCCTCACTAAGATGCTTGCCTACACTGTGACCGTGTCCATTCTCTGCGTCGTGGAAGTCGTGCGGCGCGTCAAGCCACTGCAGAAGATGTTGCTGGAAGTAGCTGATGGTGAACCCGTAAATGAGAGCTTGGGTCTGCAGTTGAGCACGTAGCCACGACGCTACACTCTGCACTCTTGCTCCAGACACTCCAGTCGTCTTCTTCCCAGTCTTGGCAGCCAAACGATTCTGGAAACGCAGATCTTGCTGCTCCAAGTCGTGCAAACTCACAAGTACCGCAGTCAGCAGCACGCCTCGATTGTCGCATTTCACCTCAAGCACCACGATGGAGAGAGGGTCATTGCTTGCACTATTCGTCCACCCAGCCGCTTCCGCTGCAGCTCTTTCCGGGTGGTAAAAGTACTCGGAGAAGCCATCTTTGCCAGGTATGTCGCTCTCGTTTGCTGCGCTGGGGTCCGCAGGGAAGGCACGTGCATGGCTCCTGCTGGTAGCTAGCGTCCGAAGACGTCGGAAACCAAGCGTACGTAAGTGCACTGCGTACTCTTTATAGAATTCACTCGCCACTTCAAAACGCAGTGGCTCCAAATTCGCAGCCACCTGCTGCTTGATACCACGAACGTCAGCTCCTGTACCGGCGTCCATGCTGAGTACAGTGTGCTCGATGTACAGCTTGGCCACTGAGCAGTCGTCTTGATCAAACACGAACTCGCGCTTGTAGCTAAGCAAATGAACCAGATCCATGCACGACTGAAGAGCACGTAAACGCCCACTGATGATCCCGTTCTCGTCGCCGTCAGACAATCCAATCACCTCAGCCGCTACCCATCGCTCCACAAACGCAGCTCGGAATCGTTGATGCAGCAAGAGATGTCCACTCTCCACTAAATGCATCACGACATCCTTCGCGACGGGCTCCTCCATCTCTTCATCCGCACGCATCGACGCGAGCTTCTCCAGCAGGTTCATGCCCACTGTGTGGCTAGTTGATTGCGTCTCGAATGCTTCCCATCGCATTTCCAGAGCTGCGCAATAGTATGGAAGAGGAGTTCGATTCTTCTTGGGATTGTCTTCATCTTCCTCGAGCTCGATCAAATGTCGCAGCTGGCCTGTCAAACTCGTTGCCCACCGCTCAGTGTTGCCAGGGAATAAAAAGCGAGGCCCCCAAACACACTACAATCGCTTCTTCCACGAACTGTGGAATAGACCCGGGCCCGCGTCGCTAGTGTTTCTTGGCAATGCAGGAGCTGTAGTTACTGCCAACCCTGTCAACGAAGATGAAGACGACGACGACCCCAACTCGGAGAGATTAGTACCTCTCGATCCTCTTCGTACAGGGCGATTCGCTGTGTTGCCGTGAACATTCTCCATTGTATCGATGCTCCACTCACAATGCTGTTAATTTTTAAATTTCTTAGATGCTGGGAAGCTAAGCTCTAAACTATTTTAATAGTAGTGGCTAACGATATCTATTTGTGGAGAGAAAAGATTTTTGCGAAACGACACTTATTTTTGGTGTGGTGTACTGCTCTTTCTTTTGGTGACCCTTTCTGCGTCTGTGGCGCTTCACATCCTATTTTTTGTGTTCGCTAAAAAAAATAGAGTGCTTTGGATGGCTCTCCGGGATAAGGATCTCAGGTTCCCACATAGGCGTCGCCTACTCATTTGGTAGATCCAATAAGCATTATGATAGCGAATATTAATCACAACTGCTGACAACGCAAAGAAAACACGTGTAAAATTAATTATCTTAAACGGGCTAACTTGAGTACAGTTTCAGGAAAAGACGTCATGTATTAATACGATTATGGTCGCTACACAATAGGAACAGCCCACGCTCCATGACTTTCCATATTGTAAATGTTCACCCCTCTTTCAGCGAGGAAGAAGCCCCGGTCCCCCCAATTGGTACCGTCCGAGTTGCGAACGATCCAATACTTGACACCCGTCTTCACGTCGGTACCCCATCCGACGAGACTCACGACGTGGGTAGTGCCAGGGTACTTGGTTGAGTCGCGCAGGATGTAACCTCCTTTATATTGACGATATTCCGGTGACAGTGAGTACATGCTTACAACGATGGGGCCACGGTGGTAGATCTCGTTCATCGCCTGAAGCTGGAATTCCTCCGACGTCGCAAAGTTGAGTGTGCCGTACTCCGAGATGCGATATTTGATTGGGTCCTCCAACACGAAGCATTCACCTTTCAGATTGCATGTGTGGCATTGCGTCGCCGCGCAGTCACCTCTTCCCATCCACGACGGATGCGAGGCAATGTATGGGTTGCACGTCAAGTCGACAATACCATTTTCATGGATCCATTTGTGTGCATATCGCGGATCTCCACCGTGACACGACCCAAACGATCGCATACCGCAGTCGAGTAAGACTTGTGGCGATAGCAGCACCTCTGTGTCAAGGCGGCCGGTCGTTTTGAACCGCGCAATCCGAATTCGATCCGACAGCGCACTAACCGTAGCGAACGCCCAGCAAGACCCACAAGCACGGGGCACCATTTGGTTCATGACGCTAGTGGTCAAGCTGATACCCGTCTTGTTATAGTCGCGCCAGTCCCAACGCTCAGGAAAATCGTCTAACGACGTAACTTCCGGTAGCGGTGACAGTACGTGCTCGGGGTCGTTGCCACCAAGGAACCAACCGGCACCTTTGTTGGTTTGAACCACGTCTACGTCGCCCTCCCCTTTACCGTCGGGCGGACACGCTGCCATCAAGTCGAGTTGGTCTTGGACCGCGTGCATCGACACCCCGTTGTGCGTGTAATCGACGAGTTTCTTAGGTGCAAGCACCGCGGAACTGACAAAACTCCCCAGTGCGATCCACATAAGCACAGAGCCAATGGACCGCAGCTTAAAGCGGTCAGCGTGGAAGTTCTCCCAAATCGATTGCAGTGGAGATGTTGAAGATTGTGAAACGCTGTTGACGTCCAGCAGAGGACTGATGCGAGGCTGCAACAGCGGAAGATCGGACTTGTCGGTGATTGCCATCACGCTAGACTTGGGAGCTTAGAGCTGCTGAAGAATAATTGCGAAGTGGTATGCAGTTGCAGGTGAGTGGTGCCATGTTCTCTCTACCAGGCGCGAAGAGCTCTTCGTCCTTATCCCGGTACCTCGCTGAAATTGATAATAATAAAATACACAGGCTGACTATTAACTAGAGTCTGTGCAGCGATGAATCTGGGAGATACATGTAGAGCTAGGAAGTCGTGCGGATTTGATATTTTAAGCCGTTTGGAAGTCCGATGCTGTTGTTGCACTTATTCACACACGGAGGTTTATAGATCGATGTTCTTATTGAATGATTAAGCTGAGTACAAGCTTTCGAGTGAATGGAGAATGTCCGAGCACAGTCATACCACCGACCCCCATACATTTATAAGGTGCTGGCGAATTCACAGCTAAGACGAATCCACAAAATATGTACACTTCACCTATGATCACGGGACTGACCTTTCGATACATGAACCGCACAAAAACACAAATAAATAGAATTTAATGCATTGCGATTGTGAAAACTGTTGATGCCAACATGGACAGAATCTATAAATCAATCGCTCCCTACTGCAATATGCACGATGAATTCAGAATTTAATTTTTTTTATCTTACACTTTGTAAGCCTGGCGTTTTGTACCGTTGTTGATTTTTGCACGACAAATCCATACAAAACACCTGGTTTGGAAGTTACAAAGCATTATGATGTGACCACATAATCATGTTGCATGAACGTTGGCTCAGTTGACGACAAATTAATCTTCGTTGGGCTTCCCATAGGTAGCGTAAGCTAGCTATGGGCCATAGCTAGCTTACGCTACCTATCCCCCAGTATAAATAACCTGGTAGCATCTGGTGTTATCCATCCGCTGACGGGGTCACTTGCGCTTCAGGAATGTATTTATAGGCTAAACTTGTGAGGGGATCACACTGCACCTTGTACAGAGGAAATGCTTATGGTTATTAACTACCCGAGTGAACGCTAGTCCGCGTGCCGGCCTCAAAGGGAACGGCTTGCTACTCAGAAGAGTAGATGTAAGACTGATGTATTTACAAGTAAGCTTAGCGTGGATTTACAAACTAGATGCTACCTACAGTGGAGCTAAGTAGCTAGGCCCTGACTGGCTCCTAGAGCATCTGGTACCGTTTACCAAGTTGTCCACAAGAGTGACGGGTCACTCTTTATGTAACCTGGGGTACACTGGATTGTACCCCGTTACAAAAATTGAGTTAAATTTACAAACTTTAAGTGAAGCTGTAGCGGGGTACGCCCCTAATTACATGAAGTGTGAGACATCACACTTCGCGATACCAAGTACATGGTACCAGGGTCTTCAGACGCTGATGACATAGCTTCACTATAGGTGACTCATAGTTTTATATTTAACTCAAGCTTAGCATAAATGCATTCAGTTTGCAACTTACCTTGAACTGGTCACTTCGCTCCCTTTGACAAAAGGGACCTGCTCACTGAGAGTTTGTATACTCTTGGAAGCCGACTTCCTCCAGCGCAAGGCGCTGTGTGACCCCAGCACACTTAGTAGCATCCAAAACAATCCGGGTATGCTACCTGAACCTCTGAAGTTTGTCGCCATGGATAGGAGCGACTTCTCCCATCTGAACGACTCACAGTTCGAGCCGATTCGGAAGATGGCTGGCATCTCTCTCAGTCTCCGGCGGTGGAAGAAAGTCCGTTACACCCGAATCCAATACAGCTGAAGGTGAAGCCGTAAGAAGGGAAGGAATATGAGAACCTTCACTTCTGGGTTCGAGAGGTAGAGCTCGCTATGGAAGTGGCTCTGATCTCGACCGAGCCACTCCTCGTTGCTTTTGCGCTTTTCAACCTTTATCGGTCGTACACGCAGAGGCGACATCGTCTGGATGTTTCACATCCTGAACTCAGGGGAACGCCGGAGACCAGTACCCTACTGGGGAAGATCTAAATCTTCGTGAGCGGTACGCGGGTGGCACGTACCACGGGAATTTAGCCCCGGAGAGACTACGTACTCTCGAATCGGCGAAGGGCAGCGGCGGGCAGCTTGTAGTACACGGATATGTACGGGGACACGATCACTCCTATAGAATCTTGATCGATTCTGGGGCGTCGAAGAACCCTGCACGCCGCCACACGGTTGCTCGTTATAGCAACAACCTGTCCGATGCTTTAAGAGAAAGCCAATGCAACAGCACAGTGTCCGAGCGACTGGCCGACGGGAAAGTCGTCACTGTCCCCAACATCCAAATGAATCTGGCTGTCAAGTATAAATACTTTAACAGCCGCCCTGCGATGTCCGACAGAGCATTGGCGAGTCATGTCCCCACCTCAGTAAGGACCAGGGGAGCCTGCAAGGCCTGCCAGGGTACCGAAGCATCCGGCAGATGCTTGGGAGTCGTCGACGTAAATGATGACTCCGAGAAAGATGTGATGATGGCGGTGCTAGGTGGCACTGTCCAAGTGGGTAGCTTAGGTCCAAACGCGGGTAACATGGCTCCGCAGACAGCTGCAGCTGTCACGAACGATGATAGTAGCGTGTTAAAGGTGGGTAACATAGCTCCACACACGGTCGCCCAGACCTTAAATGAAGCGGAAGGAATCGATCAAGCTTCTTGTGTGGGTAACAAATGCCACACGCAGTCGCCCATAACCTAACTGAAGAGACATCCTTCCTGTGTGGGTAAACATAGTTCCACACGAGGCCGCAAGTGCCTCGGATGTCTACATCGCGACATCCCCAGACGTGGGTAACGAAGTTCCACATCACGGTCGCCGTCGTCGGCGACGCCGCCGCCGCCGCAAGTCGGATCTGAACCTCGTTCAGATCGACGTCGCTTCAAGCATCTCGAAGTCCAGGACCGGGCTTCTCCGGCGCGGTCGGTGGAAGAGTGCTATCACATCTTCGATGGCATGACCGGTTTACCCGTCAAGACATCTGGTGTCCACTTAAAACCGTTGCCAGAGGTCGCAGAGATACTGAATCTCATGGAAATTACGGTCGAGTCTTTCCGGGCAACCACAAGACCGGAGAGGTGCTTATAAGACCAGAGGCCACTCGGGAAGCGTTAAACGCCTCCTCAGTCTTGGACAAGGACGTTCCAGAGGAGTTGAGCGAGCAGCGTCAAGCGCGCTTGGGTTCTGAGATCCTTAAGAGCCCCAATAATCCGGTGTATCCTTTGGTGACGCTGACGATACCCACCGACCCGACTCCCATCATCGCGGTGTGCGGCATGAGATCGACCTCGTGCCTGGCACAAAGTACTGTGTCACGAGACAGTGGCTTCTCCCCCGCAAACAGTGCGAGGTCATTGATTCCTTCTTCGCCGAGAAGGCGAAGGCAGACATGGTGTCGACGTCGACTTTCTGCGTTCGGAAGCCGAACGGGAAGTGGCGTCTGGCTCACGTGTATAACAAGCTGAACAACGCGACGGTGCCGGCCCAGACACCAAACCCACGAAAGGATGTGTTGTTGAGCAACATGGCCGGATGCGTACTGAGCAGTCGCTAGATTTGGTAGACCGAGACTACCAGATCCTGATGCGCGAGAGCGACATCTCGCTCACCGTAGTGAGTACTCCAAGCGGCATGCTTTGGGAGTGGCTCGTCACGCTGCAGGGTATATCTAACGCCCCGGCGACATTCAACCGCTCGGTGACGCAGCTATCCAGGCCACTGCGTGCATTCGTACAAACGTACTTCGACGCCATCTTCGTCCATAGCCGTACCGAGGGAGGCAAAACGGCCATGGAGGTGCTTTTGGGGCACCTTCGTCGAGTGTTGGACGTGGTGAAAGCGAACAAGCTATACGACAACATCGACAAGTGCGTCTTCGCGTCACCATGGTACAAGGAACTCGGTTGCTTTGTCAACAACGTCGGCGTTCGAGCTGACCCAGACAAGGTCAATGCCATTGCAGCATGGCCGACGCCCCGATCCCAGAGGGATCTCTGAAAGTGGTTGGGCTTGGCCAAATACCTTCACAAGTACAGCGCAGGGTACGCGAGCCTCGCTAAGCCCTTGTCGGGCCTCCTTTAAAAGGACGCGGACTGGCGATGGGAGCGAGAGCACCAGAATGCTTTTGACAGCATCAAGGCCAGTCTCCAAGATGCCCTTTTTTTAGGCCTGCCGGACGAGACGAAGCCGTTCAGCGTCGCCTGTGATACCTCCGACTATGCCATCGGCTGTGCATTGCTGCAGGTCGATGCAGCTGGACACGAGCGAGTCATCTCGCTCCGGTTCAGACAGCTCAAAGCCTCCGAGCGGAACTACTCTGTTCGCGTCAAGGAGCTCCTGGCAATGAAGTATGCCCTGGTGAAGTTTCGTGTTCACCTTCTGGGCTCTAGGCCCTTTGTGTTCTACACAGACCACGCGTCCTTGAGGACGGCGACTTACTCGCCTCACCTCTCCCAAAGGATAACGAGGTGGCTGTCCTTCTTCGCGGAATACAACTTTCGCGTCGAATACAAGCCGGGCAAGCTCAACGTGCTTGCGGACGCCCTCTCTCGGCGTCCTGACTATGCGTTGGCCCACATCACGCGGGTGACAACGGATCTATATGATCGGATACGCATGGCGTATCGGGACGATGCGGCTGTCGCACCTATCGTCAAGTTCCTTATGGCAGGAACGAGCGCGAAGTCCGACTGGCTTTCGTCGCGACAGCGCTCACGGATCCACCGATATGAGCTGAAGGATGGCCTCCTCTATTACCGGGTGGAGCCCAATGAACTTCCACGGGTGGTCGTACCCAACGACGAGGATCTGAAGTTCGATATCCTCGCGGAGGCGCACGACGCGACCTCCAGCGGCCGCTTGGACCGCGAGAAGACCTTTCAGTCGGTCTATCAGGCCTTGTGGATCGACATGTACAAGTGGGTCACCCGATACGTGAGACATGCAAAACATGTCAGCGGGTCAACCCGCAGGACACGCTTCGGCTCCACTACAGAGCCTGCCCGTACCGACTGACTGTTGAAGGTCGATGAGTCTTGACTTCATCTTTGGGCTTCCCGCCGACGGACACGGCAACACCGGCATTTTAGTGCTCGTGTGTCGACCGAGCAAGATGGTACATTTTGCTTCGGTTCCCGTCACTGTTACGGGCGAAAAACCCGCAAGGTTGTTCGTCGATGGCGTGTTCCGCTATCACGGTCTCTTGGAGACGATTGTCTCGGACCGAGACCCGCGGTTCACGGCTGCGTTTTAGAAAACACTGTTTCCTTTACTGGGAACTCGTCTACAGATGTCCACTGCGGATCATCCGCAGACAGACGGCCAGACAGAGCGCGTCAATCGAGCGATCGAGGACATGTGTGCGCGGCAGCACCACGTACGTGGTCGACGCAGCTTCCAGTTGTTGGGTTTGCGCTCAACAACGCGGTGCACGTGTCCACGGGGCTCACGCCGTTCTACTTGAACGGCTTCCGTCACCCCAGAGTGCCTCTCACGCTTCGAGGAGACACTGCCTCCTCTATTCTTAGTGGGGGAGAGGCTCGGAAAGCTCTTTTCTCCCAGGTCTCGGATGTGAGACCAGTTTTGCTGCGGAAACAAGTGGGATCCTTTATGGATACCAAGGGGAGCGTTGTCAGCAGGGTCCGCGATGCCATGGCAGCGGCCCAGGATAGATAAAAAGAGTACCCACACAAACCTGGAAGAGGAAACTTAAGTGTATTTTAAGTGGGGGCCTTAGACACGAGAAACCTACTTCTTGACACTGTCAGCTCTGTCGGCAGCAAAAAGGCGAAGCACCGCTTCATCGGACCATTTGCAGTCCTGGCCAGACATGGTGCGTCGTACACCATCGACCTACCTAAGTCAATGACGACGCACCCGGCGTTCTATGTTGGACGTCTTAAGCGGTACTTTGATCCGCAGGGGGTTGCTGAATCGCAGACCCACCTTGGCCCAACTCCTCGAAGCGAGGGCCGGCCACAGGCGCCCAAGTCCCGCGCTGGATAACAAGACTGTGATCAAGACCGTACACCGGAGGAATCCTGTACGAACGGACCCCAGGGTCTACGTCAAGTACGCCGAATACGTCGAGTACGCACCATACATGTACGGCTAGGCGTGCGCCACAGGCGGATCTGGACGTTGGTGCAGACCATCAACGCGTCGGGTCATGCGAAAACCCTCGGCAAGATCAGACGAAGAGGCCCGGCGGTCCACCCGCTGATGCAGGTTTGAGACCCCCGCCCCAACTGGTCCAGGAGACCCGCAAGACAAGCGAGCACGCCCTGATTCTCGGCCTGGGCGGCAGAATCACCGTCTGTCCCAAGATCAAGTGAAATCTCAAGCACGAGGACGCGTCGACGAAGGTGGGCAACCTCAAGGCCCTGCGCCGGACTCGCAGGAAAAACACTCGGACGAGAGTAGCGTTCCGGAGGCGCCGAGTACTCGCTCTTACGAGGGCACCCCCGTCCCTGCTTGACCGGAACGTAGACGTCCGCTACCACATGGAGCGGATTCTCCAGGAGCAACGGCGTCGCGGTAAGTGACAGCTTCTCGTGAAGTAAAGGAGTTATGCCCACTCCGAGAACTCGTGGGAGCCGATTGAGCGGCTCCTGTTAGACTGCACGAACGCTGTCGCAATCTGGGAACAGAAGCGACGGCAGCTTTCAAGTAATCCTGGACTTCTTGCCCGAGCGGGGTACGGACGTTGACGACGCTCCGTACCCGCGCTTATCGTGAGCGCTAGAAGTCGCGCGCTTTATACTGTCCCTTGGCTGCGAGCGCTTGCTGACCAAGTGGCCGATCCAGACACGAAGATCACGCTGGTCTAGGATGGGGGACAGCAGCTAATCTTCATGGCGTTCCCGTAGCTCAGAGGATGTGCAAGTGAGAGACTCAAGCCACGCTCAAAACATGTCCGCGAACGAGTTCCAGCTCGGACAGCGCTTGGGAAGAACCTAGGGGCCCCAATGTGGGTAGAGACCACCCCGGTACTCGAGCTTCTTACGACAAGTCGTAAAGGCCATAAGAGGGAATCAGTGTGGCGCTGAAATGTGCTTAGTGCTGTACCGTAATCCGAGGAGACGCAGTGAGCAGCTCTGCCGACGATCGTGGACATGCTGCTTGGCGTCCATGGTAGGCGAGAACAGGTATATAAGATTGGCGTGGTCACCGTAAAACCGAAATCCTCTCTGACGTAGTATCAGGTATTCCAGGTCTTAACTGGCCTTCAATATCTGGAAGGCCTCCTTCATAATTATAGGCCAACACAGCTGAGCGTCACAAATCACTCCACCTTTGCCGATTACCAGCGAGTGATTTTGTTCTTTGACTGAACAAGAATTATCCCATGCGCGAACCGCTGTTACCACAATGCTGTATCCGTTCTGACGGGCGTTTGTGAACATGCAGAGGTCATCTTCTTCCACAAGGAAATGTCATCATGGCTGTGGTCTTGATGACACTAGCTGCACTGTAGGCTGCGCGCTCCGGCTTCATTCACGTGATAGAGACGTTAAGGACGTTGCGATTCCGCCGACCAGCCATTCTTTCTCAACATCGAGTTCAGTCAGTATTTGAGACATAGTACGAGCGGAATCCACAATTGCGTCACGTAGCCAGTTAGAAGCATATATTAAATACTGCAGTTCGGTAGCTGCTGACAGCGACGAAGCTCCTGCAACGCGCTGATGCGCCCCGCGTCATTGCGAACATCATCGTCAGATATCACGTAGCCACACCACATCACATCACGCTTGAACGGGGTGCTCTTCTTCGCGTTGAGCCAGATGTTGCACCTCTGTGACAGCATAACGAACCGTCGAAGCATGTCAGTAAACTTGTCCATAGGCTTGGCATAAAAGAACACATCGTCCCCGTACCGTCGCCGCATGTCAAATAACGCGTCCATGGGCTTGGCATAAAAGAGCACATCGATCCGCGCCTGTGCGTTGTTTGGAAATCAGTTCAGCAAATACACGCTGTATATGGCTCTGGAAAAGCAATGCAGAGTCCATGGGAAACACGAGTCATAGAGTAGACACCCTCGTTTGTCATAAACGACAGGACCGCTTGACTCACTTCTGCCAGTGGTAGCTGCCAGAACCCGTTCTCCATATCAGCCTTAGCCATGGATACAGTACCATTCACACTGCTCACCACTGCTGCGACATCTGTCACGGTACCGGCAATTGACACGGTAGCTTGATTAACAACACAGCAGTTGATGGTGAGACGGAATGCATCCTTGTGTTCCGGATTGCGAAAAGGACCGACCATGATTACCCTGCGTGCCGTCCTGTTCACCCTCGCAATTCCATTTCTGGCAAGCCTTGCCTCATGTTCACAAAACAAAACCGCCGCTGCAGGGGTACATACTTGCGTTGCTTGCATGCGTATCGAGCTTGTGAATTCCTTTAAGTGAATGTAAATTGGCTCCACACGAGCAGGAGGACCATCACTCAGCCTTTTCTGCCAAATTTGGTATACTCGTTTAGAGCACCTCGTAGCTCCTTAACTTAATCCAAGGCCAAGCCGCAGCAGCGTCAGCAACCATCGCATTAATGCTGGTCTGCACATACTCATTTGGTTCGTGGTCCGCGAGCTATCTCCCACTTCGTAGTCGTCATTGGTATCCACGAAGTCATCTCCATGGGTCAGCGGAGCGGAAATGTCATCTACAATAATGCCCAGCTCATTTAGGATGTCCTTGCCTAATAAAGCTCTTTTGGTTCACTGCTCATAACCACGCAGGTGCCAGAAGGTACTTTATCATATTTTTCCATACCATATTTTTCCATACCCGTAGCCGTAATCAGCCTGAGATCTACTTCCACAGTACATTCACTTTCCAGACACTGAATGAACAGGTCAGGTTGGAGACCCAATCATGAGTATACCACACAATTCGGGATCACACTTCGCTCTGCACCTGTATCCGGAATGAAAATGAGGTTAAGAAGGCTATTAACTTCACAGTATTTTCTCTTTGAGCCATTCACGACCTTCGAGCAGACCACAGTACTGCTGGGGTGCTTGGAAGCGCGATAGCTAGCCAACGCATTCTCACGTTGCTCAGGAGTATCTGTAGGTCACCCGCGCATCCAATGAGGACCATGTCTGACCAAGCAGCTTTCGAGGGGGGGGGGGGAGCCGACTTGGCAGACCCCGGAGAGCCTTTGCTCTTTTTGCTGCTGGCCGAACTTTCTCGCCGCTTCCCTCCTTGCCAGAACTAGTGCTGTGCCTAGATCCTGACGCACATGTTGCACCGACTGAAGCCTGACGCAAAGGACCGCGAGAAGCACTGCTCGCCTTGATGATGCGATAAAAGTGCTGTGGCGCCTTGGCATGCTCCTGGACAATGTCTAACAACGCGACATCAGCTGACTTAAGATTACGGCGCTCAAGCTCAACTAGACGCAGCATTTGTTCCTCACGAACAGTAGGCAGAAGGTTTTCGATCAGCAGCCGACATCTGGTCCTCATGCGATCTCGGTAGCCTTGCAGGGATGGGTCCGTTTTGTCAATCAGTCCTTGAAGGCCGTTCTCTTCCAGTAATTTTGTGAAGTCCTACAAATAGCGGAAGACGCGAGCATCACAGTCATCTGTAGCCGGATCAATTTGAGGTGATTGATGATTCAAAGACTTCACATCGGGCACAAACGCATTGGCGAGAGCTTGGCTGTGCGGATGAATGAGCCGCAGGACATCTGTGTCGGTGATAGACTCAAGCGGTCACTGAATAAAATAGCCATAGATGCTATCCAGAATCGCAGGCGGAAAGCGCCCGACACCGTTCCTACCACATGCAATAACACCTGACACAGTGCAACGGAGGTGCATCTTGGCACGGAGTGATTCCACTCACGGTACCATGACGCAGGCAAAGCATGGTCCCAGAATACCAGCTTGGGTGGCCGAACCACTTCGTAGATTGGCCGCGGCCCGGTCGGTCGAGCGTCCATGTTGACGTCTCGGTCAGGGTCGAGCGGAAATCTACCACCTACCGTAGTAATTCGCAGGAGATAGATGCATACTTAGCGCAAACTTTGTCTAGGTTCTGTCGAAAGCCATATTGGTCGGGACAGTCCTTGCACAAACGACGGCCACGGCTTCTCTTCAGTCGGCGACGCGCACTGGGGAGCGATGCAGCTTTGGCGGCGTTGCACACGGGGGGGGGCAACTCTCTCTATCACATATAAACATACTCGCGAACGATCAGAGCGTCAGCGTGAACGTTGTACCTGATTGTCTCGCTTTTTTTTTAGCAAAATAGTTTAAAAAGAAAACAATGCCTCATACCTTTGTTGTTTGCACAGATCTGCAAGTAGGTCTTGCTGTGCAATTGCGTTGTCCTTGGTCTACATGCCTGCACTGAGGGTACGATGAAGGGTTTCGTTTTTAATTCTTCGTTCCGGCACTATTGACGGCAGAACTTTGAACATTCAAATGATGTTTATGTAACGCTCTCTGATAGAACCACTCCGGCGCGGACGTTTGATTTGCCACACTACATCACCCAAATCGATCTTGCTTTTCCTTTGTTCAATGGGCTTCTCCGGTAGGTATTCAGAGCAAGCCACTAGCTATAAAGAGGGTAGAGGCAAAAGTAAATTTTAGCAATAATTACAGGCAGCAAAGCACAAGTTACCTGTCTGATCCGCATTTAATTCACGAGTGACGCCAATTGCCGAGGCGGTTGCCTTGACCTCTTTCGCGAATTGGTCAGCAATCCTTGCGCCAGGTGTCTTCAATAGCGCTATTTGCACTTGTTTAGCTAATTCGACCGACCTAAGTAAATGTAAAACCTGTCCCCTTCAGCACGCAATCCATTTATCATTTGATAAGCCGTATTTCGTGCTCTTTTGACAGAAGTGCGTCTAGTCTTGATTTAAACCGGATTCCGCGTTACTTTACACGCCCTACGAAGCCTGTCGATGTGCGGTAGTTTGGGACGCCAGGCGAGAATAGAATGGCGGTCCTAAGACTGTCATACTTGATGATAGGCAAAATCGAGTAAGAAGGTTCCGTTGTCATTTTGATGTCTTCTAACACGTAACCCTCCTTTATCAGGGTAGGGGCTACCTATTTTCAGTTTAGCACGACCTCGCGCATCCGGGAGACGCTGTCGCCTATTTTGTTTTCGTTGCTGGAGCCATAAAAATTGGAAAACTGAAGCAATAGCCCGGAATTGCTGAAGTTCGCCAATCTGAATGTATAGGGTCACATATGGTGCACAGCCCTCTTGTTTTTTTTGTATTGCATTCCTTTAACAGTATGCATTTATTTAGGGAATATGCTATGTGCGTTTAAATAAAATATATTAAGACCAGGCAGCTCTCAGCTCTACAAGCGTGTGTGGGCATCCCTTGTTTGTCCATATCTCCTATACTACCAAGCGTTAGAGGATGCCATTTTGCCCGAAGCATCTCATCACTGTATGGTGGTGCGTTCTTCGTAATTAGTATGATGACGTACAGCCTTATCGCTTCACTTGGGATCAAAATTAGTGTTTTTAACGTCACGGGAAGTGTAATGGGCTTACACGCAAGTGGATACACATAGCCACTTGGTTATAGGGTTTCCACGTAGGTGTGAGATACACCAATGGATACATTAGGCAGACTGTTGGTCTGCATTCATTTAGGGCATTCATTGGTTGAAAGTCAGTATTTTCAGCCGATTAGAATAATATAATTCTGTCAGCCAATCGTTTATAAATGCCTTTCATTTAGAATATGACACAAAAAGGAAAACCCAAACAAACAAATAAACAGCTCTGATTTTACCAGAAATCGGCTTTGCTGTCCTATGTAAGTAAATCTATACTTTAGGACGAAAGTATACAGTGCGGGCGGTAAGTATACTGCCACCCAGACTTTGCATTAAAGCTTGACCAATAATATAGCTAAGAAAACCCTGTTTGGACCAATAGAACGCTCCGTTCAAAACAAAGCGATTGGTGGTCGATTGACATCAATCAGCACTCTACAGTCGTAGTCACATCTAAATACCTGGCGGACCCCCCCATCTAAGCGGTGATAAGTATACTGCCATTGCTGTATTGAGCTGGTTACTGGCTTGCTTTTGATCGCATATGTGAATATGTTGCTTGAGGGATTCTAACGAATCTTTCAGCCTCTGTAAACTAGGTATTGTGCGGCATTGACTGCTGACTACATGACTAGAGGCCTAAGGCTGACAGAGAAGAAAAAAAACAGCAAGATTTCGGAACTTCACACGTGCGGTTTGGGCGAATTAGCCATTGTAAAGGTATTAGGTCGATCTAGACCTCTTGTGCACGCGTACATCACTTGTTCAGATACCTACAACACCATCAAACGCGCCGGGAGACCAAAATCGCTGACGCCTACTGTCAAGCGGCGACAACTCCGAGAGGCTTTGAAGGGCACGTTGAGCGCCCCAAAGCTTGAAACACAGCTTCCGTTAGACCTGAGCGCTCGTAGAATTCGAGAGATTCTTCAAAAGCACCCGGAATTTAGGTACGAGAAGCGTATGTCTTTGCCTGTGCTCACGAAGAGACATTAAGCTAATCGCCTTAAGTTGGCGAGGGAGAAGGTGGCCTGGGACGCTGGGAAATAGTCTCAAGTCGTGCTCTCCGACGAAAAAAAGTTTACTTTAGATGGTCCTGATGGGTTACAGTACTACTGACATGATTTGAGGTTCGAAACGCAAATTTACTCTCGTCGTCAAAGTGGAGGAGGAAGTGTCATGGTGTGGGGAGCTTTCTGTGCTGGTGGGAAGAGCGAGCTAGCGATTTTGGAGGGGTTTCAGAACAGTGAGCACTATATCTTCACCCTATCAGAGCATTTACAGCCGTTTATAGATAAAATCTACGGGCGAGACTGCATATTCCAGCAAGCCTATGCAGCTATCCACTCATCCCGAGCCACAAAAACCGCTTTAGAAGAAGAAAATGTGGAGGTCATGGAGTGGTCTGCGAAGTCTATAGACCTTTACCCGATCGAGAACAGGTGGGGCGTGCTGGCACGAACTGTGTATACGGATGGACGTCATTTTGAGACTCGAGAATCTCTCATTGCAACTATCAAGAGATGCTGGGCCGAAATTACTGATACGTAAATGCAGAAGCTGCTGAATTTGATGCAAACGAGGTGCGTGGCGGTCCTGGAGCCCCAAGGTGCGAAGTCAAAGTACTAGATAGAGGGTGCAACAGCGCAGTAGCTTAGAGGGGGTCGCAATTTGAAAAGTGACAGTATCGTTATCGCCGTGCTTGTTAACCCCCCGCCCGCTCTCAAGCGAAAAAATGCCCCCTGCCTGACCTTAACATGTTGTACTATACTACATGTTAAGGCCGGTCTAAACTAAGAATTTGTATTGTCTGTCATAAGTACGACACAGTTTTATGAATTGCGGGAAGTTGCATAAATGCTTTCACATCCTGCGCAATGCTCTGTACCATACATGTTGTCAAATACCCTGTGGACTAGCCGAAGTTGTGATGCACGGCGTATATACTACTTTGTGTTTTGGTTCTTTTATTATGATTGAAGAAAGGTCGAACGAAGTTGCACAGCTTTGCGCGGTGACACGGACAATTTGATTGAATACTTCCAGCTAGCAATCATCTCATCCTCATTCGCTATCATTTTCTCCCTCCAGTGCTGTTTTGTGAACATTCTCTGCCTCTTCCGCTTCCGAAACGTCAGCGGCATTCTGTGCTTCCCGTACCCCAGACACGTCGGAGCCTGTAGCGCCATCATCTCCAGAGCCCCCTCGTCGTCGCTGTCATTGTTGCTCTTGGGACGGCGGCGGCGCTTCTTGCCGAGGCCACGCCTTTGAATGTCTCGCCCGACACGAGGACGTGGGCGCTCGTCACCGTTCTTCCGGTTGATGTGCCATATTTGATGGCACGTCATGTTGCTGTTCACAAAGTGATTCGGTCGCACTCGATCGCACCGGTAGACTCTATATAGCGTGTTAGACGATATGGACAACATATCAATTCACCAATATTCACCGTTTGTTTCCGTTGCTGCAGGCTTCGCAGTAGAAGCTGGTAGCACTGCGCTGACCAATGTTCGTTTTGGCGGATAGAGCATACCTTGCACTGGTGTTGTGGCCGCTTCCTAACCTCCTCACGCACTTGTACCACTCAGAAAATTCAGACAGCTTGTGCGAACCAGAAATCGCTGTCGAAACGCGCCTTGGCGTTGCGGGACCTGGTGAAAAACTCTGCTCACACAATAAAAACTCAAGTCACACAAGTAGTATATACAGCATGTCGATACCCCAGCAAGTTGTATGTACCACTTCAAAGTTTTCACCAGTCATCTGGAGCAGTTGGGTCTGTAGCACTTCAGAAATTAGAGAGACATTAAGCTAATCGCCTTAAGTTGGCGAGGGAGAAGGTGGCCTGGGACGCTGGGAAATGGTCTCAAGTCGTGCTCTCCGACGAAAAAAAGTTTAATTTAGATGGTCCTGATGGGTTACAGTACTACTGACATGATTTGAGGTTCGAAACGCAAATTTACTTTCGTCGCCAAAGTGGAGGAGGAAGTGTCATGGTGTGGGGAGCTTTCTGTGCTGGTGGGAAGAGCGAGCTAGCGATTTTGGAGGGGTTTCAGAACAGTGAGCACTATATCTTCACCCTATCAGAGCATTTACAGCCGTTTATAGATAAAATCTACGGCCGAGACTGCATATTCCAGCAAGCCTATGCAGCTATCCACTCATCCCGAGCCACAAAAAACGCTTTAGAAGAAGAAAATGTGGAGGTCATGGAGTGGTCTGCGAAGTCTATAGACCTTTACCCGATCGAGAACAGGTGGGGCGTGCTGGCACGAACTGTGTATACGGATGGACGTCATTTTGAGACTCGAGAATCTCTCATTGCAACTATCAAGAGATGCTGGGCCGAAATTACTGATACGTAAATGCAGAAGCTGCTGAATTTGATGCAAACGAGGTGCGTGGCGGTCCT